CTAATATTTGAAATTGTGATGCCCCAAGGTTGATATTGGCCATGGATTAGTTTTCTCAGATTACCTTTGAGTCTAATGATGTAAGGTTTTGTTACACTGTTTTTGAAGCAAGATAAGGGTTTTGTTAGCCATTATTCATTGATGATCCAGTATCTGAATCATTAAATCCTAGTGCTTGGAAAGCTTATTTCTTTTAATATTGTTCAGCGCAGATGAGTGGTAATGCTAGATAACAATCTAGCTTCTGCTTGTATTCTATTAATCTGGCATTTCGGTGTATAGGGCCAACTGTTCCAATTGATGCAACGTCTAGAGAACACAACACCACATTTCATACGTTGTATAAAGCCTAACAACTTGCAATCTCCTGGATCGTATGAGCAAGGACTTGTTTTGCAGCAACTGAGATGTTGCGGAGTTCTTGAAGTAGTTCGTATATCAAGGTCTGGATTTCCTACCAGAATGTCACACCAGAAGTTTGCCAGAAGGTAAAGAAAATTACTATTTTAACTTGATGTGACAGCTTCCAAATTTGTCCTATTCTGTGGCTTTGTGTACCTCATTTTAATATTGGGATGTTGATTGCCTGACATGATTTTTCATCAGATATGGTTTTCTTCTGCTGGAAAATGTTGCTTATTCTCAAGATCCACTGAGTATTTCGGTTGCAATTCTTCATCAGTTTGATATCTTGCCAGAGATGTATCAAGTTGGCTACACAAAATTATTTTTCCGAACAGGACAGGTGAAATGGAGAATCCGCATGTGCCTGCATATGCACACAAAAACACGTGAAAACCTACATGCAAATATCTGTCAGATGTTTGTATACATAGCTTCTTTGAGGATTTTTTCTTGCTAGAATAAATTGTAAAAAAGCCATTTCAATTCAAAAACTCAAGTTGGGTGATGCTCTCATGGTGGTTTTATAGTACTCTCTAATACATGAAAGCCCCCCTGGATTTGAAATATACATAAGCCCACTATCTACTACTTTGTGCTTAAATTTATTAGTTTAGTTAAATAGAATGGGGAGATGAAATTCAAACCCTTGAATGCTTTGTTGTTGTTAAGTTGTTGAGTGAGTCTCAAAGAATGATTTTATATTACTCTTTAACATAAATACCATGTAGAATATCAACCATTAATTACTATTAAATATAATTATTGAACCATTATGCTCATCTTTTACATTCCATTCAGATCGGTGTGCTTGAGGATACAAGAAACCACACGCTACATGGTATTTTACGTGTCCAAAGCTGTTTCAGGGGGCACCAAGCTCGTGCTTACCTCAGGGAGTTCAAAAGAGGAATCTGTGTCCTACAGTCATGTATTACCCTTTCTTTTCTAGTTTGAACCTCTGTTTGCTTCCAAGCATCATCATGCATGCAAACGTAAACATAAATTATTTGAAAGAGTGCTTGTGAAGATGACTTTCATTCCTTCATGCAGTTGTTCGTGGAGAGAAAATCAGAAAGGAATATGCAATCTTACAACAAAGACATAGAGCAGCTGTTGTTATACAAAGACATATCAAAAGCACAATCCGCAGGAAAAAATACAAAGACATGCATCAAGCATCAATCATAATACAATCAGGTAAACTTGAGTTCTGTTCCTGAATTGTGAGTCCAGTGCTGCAAAGTAAGATATTTTGCTCCTCTGAATGCTTGAGTTCAGAGTTTGCAAAGTACAATCTCTGGGTGGGTTCCTGGACTTTGTGTTTCAGTTGGTTTCAGTCAACTCTTGAGAGATTGTTTACATTTTCTGTATGAAAATGCTGAAACTGAGCCTGCTTTGCTCTCTCTGCTTAAAATAATAAGATTCTTAGTCAATTATTCATGATGTCTGTGCTATGCTGCAGTTATTCGTGGATGGTTGGTGAGAAGATTTTCGGGTGATGTAGGATTATTGAAATCTGGTGCAACCAAGGTACCTATCCAATCTTAGCTTTACTTGATCTCCTTTATAACTACCATACATATGCTAATTTGCTCTCGGTTCCATATTTGTTTTACTATTGAACATGGCTAGATGTATGTCTATGAGCTTCAGGAATATTATCCCATACCAATGCACTGGATGTGGTTCATTTAACCTTTTTAGTATTGATCATTTCTTGTCCCCCACCCTGACCCACCTTGTGTGATTGTTTAGTCTTTCTTTCCTAAGAAGACAGTTCATATTGGAGTCCCTTGTCTTGAGATACAAAAACAATTTCAATTTTTCAACAGGGCAACGAGTCAGATGAGGTGCTCGTGAAGGCATCATTTCTTGCTGAATTACAGCGACGTGTTCTCAAAGCTGAAGCTGCTCTTCGAGAGAAAGAGGAGGAGAATGACGTCCTTCACCAGCGGCTCCAACAGTATGAGAACCGTTGGTCAGAATATGAGTTGAAAATGAAGTCCATGGAAGAAGTGTGGCAGAAACAGATGAGATCCCTACAATCCAGTCTCTCCATTGCAAAGAAGAGCTTAGCCATTGATGATTCTGAGAGAAATTCTGATGCATCTGTCAATGCAAGTGATGAGAGAGAGTGTAGCTGGGATACAGGAAGTAACCATAGGGGTCAAGAAAGTAACAGTGCTAGACCGATGAGTGCAGGCTTGAGTGTTATAAGCCGTATGGCTGAAGAATTTGAGCAGAGGAGTCAAGTGTTTGGTGATGATGCTAAGTTCTTGGTAGAGGTAAAATCAGGTCAGGTTGAAGCAAGTTTGAACCCTGACCGAGAGCTCAGAAGGTTGAAGCAGATGTTTGAAGCTTGGAAGAAGGATTATGGATCGAGACTACGGGAAACAAAGGTGATTTTGAATAAGCTCGGAACTGAAGAAGGTGCCCTGGACAGGGTGAAAAGGAAGTGGTGGGGAAGGAGGAACAGCACGAGATATACTTAGATTACTTTGTTTGGTGGTTAGCTCCTGGCTATTTAACATCCGAAAATTATATAGCAGAGAAAAATTGTGATGACTATTTTTTTTTGTACAAGCGATGTGGTGGTGATGGCAGAGCCTCCTGGTTCTTATCGATGCCTAAATTAAAATGTACATCTTTCTTTTTTATGATCACACAAGTTGAAGAAGCAATATTTTCTTCCCATGGCGGTGTCTAATTCCTGGTTATTTTTTTTGGGATAATTATGGAAACCCTCCCTTTCCTTAGAAGTTATATTTTATATCCTGAAAATGCATTATTGCAGCAAGCCTCCTTCAACCCCTTACCTGCAAGCTTTCAATGTGACAATGGTTAATAATGATTCTAGTTTTTGCAGCAGCTATTCATCGTCATTGATGGTGTCTTCTGTGTGTTCTGGCATATGTTATTCTTTAAAAATATTTTTTTATTTAAAAATATACATATTTTTTATTTCTAATATTAACATATTAAAATTATAAAAAAAACACTAAAACACGAAAAAAAACAAAAATCGCTTAAAACCAGAAGCAACTTTACTCACAAATACATCAGTCAGTTCCTTCACAAGGTAAACCCCCTATTATTCCATGCATTGTTATTCTTGATTATAGCTACCTTAACGGTGGTTCACCAATATATCATCTTTAACCTATCGCTCAATCATCATCTACCCAACCTAGGCTTCACTTCAGGGATGATAATATGAATTCATAAGTCAGGGATCATATTTATATCTTATTTATTAATCAAAATAATTATCCAAAAAATACAAATTCATTTATTCATATCGTATTGGATGGATATCCATTATGTTAGAAAGAAATTGCTATCCCCACTCTTGTTTGAAAAGCATGTTGCACTAAAATTGACTTGTGATTTATAATAAATTTTATGGTGTTCATGCTGTAAGTATAACATAAAAAAGACATATACATATATATATATATATTCAATAATATTTATTACCTATTAAATAAATTAACTATTTTAAAAACCTTAATCACTCATGTCAGGTTCATATAGTTTATTCATCATCTCCAGTTTTTCCTCTTCTTCTTAATTTTGCACGTGCCTAGATTATATAAATGGGGTAGTACTCTTTCAATCCTGGAATTTTAGCTTAGTTATTAGAATTGACCACAAGTCTATAAAAGTTTTTGTAAAATCAATTTATTGCTAAAATAGAAAATTCTCAAATATTTAATTCAATAACTATAAAAGAAATATAGTGCGTATGAAAAGAAATATAAGAAGAATATATGTTTAAAAAGAAAAAAAATCTATAACCTAAGCCTAAAATAACATGGTTGGCTTTTACTGAATTTGATGAACAAATATGACATTGTTGGCTTTTATGACATGGAATAACATGGCTGATTTGTGCTAGCTTCTATGGCCTCAGCCTTGAATGACATAGCTTACTTCGGCTGACTTTCATGGTTGAGAATGTGAGTGTATATGGCCAACCTAGTTTTCAAAAGCCAAGTGTAGATATGACCAATGACTTCTTTTTTTTGCCTTGTGATTGAGTCTGTTTATATATTAAAGTCTTTAAATTTCTTTATAGAGGAGTACATGTTATGTTATTGGTGAAGAAATCAGTATGTTATCATTAATTGGGCATGATGAATTTTGATTATTGTGTCATGGCATGATTTTTATGCCATGCACATATTAATAAAAAACATTTAAGTTTTTAAATTTCTTCATAAAGAAAGAGTACATGTTATTGGTGAAGAAATTAATATGTTACTAATTGGGCATGATGGATGTTGATTTTTATGCCATGTACGTTTTGATAAAAATATTAGTGATAAGTAGTATTATTGACATAAAAAATAGTGTATTAATGGAAATATTGGTGATAAGTATCATTGTCGTAAAAAATATTATTTGCTCTGTATAGAAAAAATTATGTGACAATTCGAGTATGAGTGTGAGTAAAAAATTCCTGCCATTTGGGCAGCTGAGAAATTATTATTGAAAAAAAAACCTTAGCAACATCACGTCTTAAATCTAGACTCAATGCCTAAAATCAGTGTATGTTTCTTGGATCAAAGTGTTTATCTTGAACCTTAGTCACAGTGAACTAGTAGTACAATAATTAACATGTCTCCAAGTCCTACCGCTCAGAGACAATTGCACTACAATGTTTGCTGATTGTTTTAGTTGATCTGATGTAAACCATTCCCATGATTTGAAGAAACGGCACGGTAAAAGTGTCTTTGTTTGCTTCTGCTTGTATATCATTCCATGCCGAAGTATAGGACGAAAATCCCCTGGTAAACCATCACTTCATGCTCCATTCATAAGCCATACAAAAAAGAAGTCGGAATTATAGGGAAACATTTCGAACATCATCGGGGGTAAGAATCACAACATTTTCAAGGGTACGCAGACTTGAAAGGCAAGCCTTGAAATATTATAAGCACAACGGTATATATGAGCAGATGCGCTATATAAACCTCAAAAGATGCAAAGAGATAAGTGTGCCTGCCTGCTTTCTAATTCCTTCACTACTATAGTAGCTGCTACCACTGCCAAGTCTATCATGAGGTTCACAAAACAATCCCAAATTTGTCTGGCCTTGCTCTTCGTGTTGGTAGCTTGGCCTTCCAAATCTGTCGCTCGTACCCTCCAGGATGTGTCCATGTATGAGAGGCACGAGCAATGGATGGCTCAGTATGGACGTGTATACAAGGATGACGCTGAGAAGGAGACGCGTTACAACATATTCAAGGAAAACGTTGCACGCATAGATGCATTTAACAGCCAAACCGGCAAATCTTACAAACTCGGTGTCAATCAATTTGCCGATCTGTCAAATGAAGAATTTAAAGCTTCACGTAATAGATTCAAGGGCCATATGTGCTCTCCACAAGCAGGTCCGTTCAGATATGAAAACGTTTCTGCGGTGCCAGCTACCATGGACTGGAGAAAGAAAGGAGCCGTGACCCCCGTCAAGGACCAAGGACAGTGCGGTAAGCGCCTAATCCTTTCCTAGTGAGTAGTGATAACAGCAACATCTTACAGAGGGATACTTTCTAACTCCTTTTCTTGCTCTGTATCAAAATTTAGGTTGTTGTTGGGCATTTTCGGCAGTGGCGGCAATGGAAGGAATCAATCAGCTCACAACTGGTAAATTGATCTCCCTTTCAGAGCAAGAGGTTGTTGACTGTGACACCAAGGGTGAGGATCAAGGCTGCAATGGTGGTTTGATGGATGATGCCTTCAAATTCATTGAACAAAACAAGGGCCTAACAACTGAGGCCAACTACCCGTATACAGGAACAGATGGAACTTGCAACACTCAAAAAGAAGCCAACCATGCCGCAAAGATAACCGGGTTCGAAGATGTGCCAGCAAACAGCGAAGCTGCACTGATTAAGGCTGTTGCTAAGCAACCAGTTTCTGTCGCCATTGATGCTGGTGGATTTGAGTTCCAATTCTACTCGAGTGGCATCTTTACAGGAAGCTGCGGCACTGAACTAGACCATGGTGTTACTGCTGTCGGTTATGGAGGCAGCGATGGAACAAAGTACTGGCTAGTGAAGAACTCATGGGGCGCACAATGGGGTGAAGAAGGATACATCCGAATGCAGAAAGATATATCTGCAAAGGAAGGACTTTGTGGCATAGCAATGCAAGCCTCATATCCCACTGCTTAATGCTTCAAAATCTCAGAAAATGCCTTGATTTCCTGTCGATGATCTATAATGTATTATAATATGTATGATTTCTCTCAGTAAATTCCACTTTGGTATCTTATACCTAATCAAGAACTCGTATAAGCCCTTCGATGCTAGAAAAGAAACGGGTTTGTATATGAAATCTGCTGTTGTTATATGTATCGAACATTCATCTTTTAATTGTCTCACTTTGTTAAATCTCTAAAAGTTCAAATTCTCGAACGAAACCATCCCTTGCATACCTTTAAACTAGAACTTTTCACATTGCTCCAAGATTTTGCACCTTGAGGGGAAAAAAAGAAAAAAAATAAGCGCAATCATATTCCTCATCTGCTACTTTCAGACCAGACTGTAATTCAAAAATTAACAATTAAATTGTTTGGTTTATCGTTGCAAAAGCATGCCAAGAAAAAGTTATCCAAAGATATGCTATAACATATACCTATATATATATATTCGAGCATATATACTTAATATATATCAAACTTACAATTGATATCCAATTAAAGTTCTACCATGTAATTATCTAATATATCTAAATTTAAAATAAAGCAAAGAAATATAATTATTTATTGCAGCACTAATAATAAAGCTTTTATTGTTCTTATAAATAAATCGTTTATTCTTAAGAGTTTATTGTTTATCTTGGTTCAAACAATGTTTAGATACAATTTGAATCAAAGCATAAATGGCTAAATTATCTTTCAATAAAATGAACCTAAAATCTTAATTTGAGAGAAAAATCAAAAAATAAAAGAGATGAAAAATACTAAAAATAAGGTGAAGATGAGTGTGCAAAAATCTGTAAAAAACTTGGAGGAATACTAAAAATAAGGTGAAGATGAGTGTGTAAAAATCTGTAAAAAAACTCTTCCTTAATCTCCTTATTATAATAGATTTTAGAATTTAAAAAGTTAAAGAATTAATTTTATTAATAATTAGAATTAATTCCCACTATTATCAACCTTTAATTAGCCACCATAAATTAAAAACTAAAATGTTATAACTATAAATCTATAAGTTTTGAGGTGAAAATTTTATTCTGTTAAAAATATTATGCAAAAACTAGTACAATTCTTCCTTTCATAGTCCGGAAGAAATAATTCTCCTTGAATCATGCCAAAACTCAAATTTAAGTTGTCGAAAAAAAATTAACAGTAAAAAATATTATTTTATAATAAAACCCAACTTAACTTATAATTCAAGCTCGAGCCAAGCTTACATGCATGTGTGTGGGTTAGAAACCTTTCCCCTCTAAAAATTTGAATATCTTTTTAGATTAATTTTAAATTTTCAAATTCTCATTATATAAACACAAGAAACATTTGTTTATTTTTATATGAGATAAAGTTCTTTTAAAGATTTTGAGTTTTACAAAAATATACCAACCAAGAATTCTTTAAGATCCATTTATTATTATCCACACTTTGTTTAAAACATATATATGTTATATGTTAAAGCATATATGTTGTTGATTAAATTTGAATAATGTTTCAACTTAAAAAGCGAGTAGACCCCATTTTTTCAAGATTTTTTTGAGAGATAATGATACTAGTAGATCATTTTATCAAGTTAAAAAGCTTTTGACATAATGATACTAGTAGATCATTTTATCAAGCTTTTGATTTTGAATCTTTTATAGTTAAATACAATGAGATTTACTCGGTCAAACAATAAACATATTGTTTTAAATTATTCAGTCTTATATGTAAACCTTAACAATAATATTTAAATAGTTCTTTATATAGAAATTTCTATTAGTTCTCACTATTGTATTTATTTTAACCCTAAATAACTTTGAATTTATGAAGAATTCAGCAGTTATTAAAATTCTCATAAAAACAACTATATTTTTTCATGATATTTTGTTAAAAGTATTTTGCATTTCGAATGCAGAAAGATATAGCAGCAAAGGAAGGACTTTGTGGCATAGCAATGACATCTATTGGATGAAAAAGAATCTGAGCTGTATAACGTGATAAGTGGGGAAAAAGAATATGGGTTAAAATAATCGCCTCAGCTGTTTCATCTAAGAACACTTGCAACGAGTAAGCACATAGTCATCTAAAAACTGGCTGAGCTGGGTAGTATAGAGTTTTGGGTCGTTTCTGAAATGGTCAACATGAGGTGTGAAAACAAAGTTGCAGGCCCTGACCTCATGCCCCGCTCTTCGCTGCTCCTCTATGAATGATTCCACAGACCCTGCAGGAATGACTCTATCTGCAGAGCTATATATATACAACTGTGGACAGCTTGGTTGTCCTGATGATAATAAGCTTAGCACACCCGAGAGCCTCCTGCAGTGTTATAGAGAGAAAGGTGTATAAGCTTCCAGTCATGGAGAACTAATCGATGGCAATATCGATAAGGATTGAATTATTAAGCATTTATCAATGTATGGTTTCAGATTTTTCCTTCGTTGGTAAGAGAATATTTACCTGTTCACTGTAGGAAGGTTCAAGATCACGTCGAAGAACTTTTCCAGAATTGCTAACAAAGCTGATTCAGTTATTGCAGGCTTGGGTTCCACAAGTGTTTTGCTGCCAACTAGCACCTCCATATCTGATTCTTTTGAGCTCATATGCACTCTTGTTGCAATACTATGATTTTTCAGGAAAGCTGCAGAGAAACCTGAAGCCCAGACCTAAACAAAGGAAAAAACAGGACCATATGAACTCAGAGATGAAAGCATCCCAACTTCTGATCATATATTCAATCATCGATAACATGATCTCACAAAAGCACAGAACCCACTGATATATAATCAGACCAATAATAGTCAATTAACATTAACAAATGTTGCTGATAAATTATATTCTGTGAATCAGAAGATTCAGAACACTATCTCCTAATCATAATAAATTAAGGAGGGATGTGGCAGCAGGGGCAGAATTGGGGGGTGGGTGGGCAGGGACAGGGGCCTGCAAGAAAAAAGCCCCCCCTCCTTCAATAAATTAGATTTTTAGCCCTAAAACTAGAAAATTTTAAATTTTGACCCCCCCTAAATTTTTTTCTCTAATTTGGCCCTCCCAGAGTAACATTCCTAGCTCCACCCCTGAGTGGAAGAGAGCATGTGCAAATATAAAACATGAAGCTAGAACTTAAAGAAAAAACCAAGAAATGAAAGAACAGAGTCAATAACAGTCAACCAAAAGATATACTTATAATACATAAAGCAGCATACAAATTAAGCCTTTGTTTGAAAGTCCACCCGTCCAACAATATTTGCTGCCAACTTGGAGAAAAACATTTGATTCAATCATGCAACTGCATCTCTTAATAACATGATCGTAAAACTAGAATTATGGCAAAATATAAATTTCCAAGTTCAGTGAACAGAAGCAACAAACAATGTACACAATAAAATATAGATGGCAAGCAGATGAAAATGGAAGGGTGCTTATCAATAGCATGATCATACAACTAGTATATGGAAGAGCTCAATTCCAATGAAAAAGTTGATCATAATCTTAAAATGTAAAATGAAACAAGCCAGGGTTTTCAAAGGTATGCCAGCTACAACACCAATCATCACAGCCAACAGCTCCATTAAAGACAGGTAAACATGATAGAAAACAACACAAGACATTCAGAGAGGAAAAAAATAAAAAGAATTTCATCTCCTCCACCATTCCCAACAATATGCTCCTTTTATTGTCAAAAGAAACAATGAAAACAGCAAGCAACATTTACCTGAGGATCTGGGGCAGCAACAGGAGCAGAGTCCACGATGCAGCCCCTAATCCTTCCCATTAAGGAAGGATCTTGTTTCTGAAACTTCTCAAGTATAACTCCATATCTGCAAAACAGTTTATCAAACCAAGCATGTCAGGCCAACTGACCAAGAGGTTACATGAAGAACAAGGAAAACAAAATGGTCAACATAGATGCCTGTGTGTGAGAGAGAGCTTACGTTAACCATCCGGTATTGCTAAAAGTATGGAAAACCAAGTTCTTCCTGTCCTCTTCCAACCAATCAGTCAGATGGTTCACAAGCAAGTCAATGTCCTGCTCCGCTTTCCCACCAACTTGGTAACAAAGAATATCGGCCATTGGAAAAGTGAAAGTAATGACATGAAATCCCCTCGAAGTGTACCACTCAGCATATTTCTTTAGATGTTTCTGCTTTGATCCTAACCACCCTAACAAAACTACCACTGTCCTGGACTTTTCTGATAAACAATCAGAAGACCCAGAAACATCAATAGTACTAGGCTCGGGCAAATTCCATCTATACAAAATATCAGGAGTGGATGAAGGAATATTGGTGGTTTTAAATGCACTTTGTTTTGGCCCTTTGGCCAACTCCGCAGACTGATACAGACTAACAAGAAGAGGAGAAGAAGCAACAGAAAAACCTAACGAACTGGGAACAAAATTTTGGCTCACATCCAGGACTGCGAAGTTTAATTTAGGAACAGGAATCTGAATCCTAGTTACGAACGACAAAGATGCAAGCTTAGAAACTGAACTGTGAGAAACCCATGAAAAGTTTGAATCGTGAACTGAATTAGACAATGAAGAACTTGACTGTTCCGAGGTAGAACAAGAATCAAATGATCTAAAAGATTGGAGTTTATCAGAAAAATCAACAGAAACAGAAGCTAAAGCTGCTGCAGCTGCTGCAATCACTGGTCTTTGAAGCATTCCAGACAAGGAACTCATATTGAATAAACAAGAAAAAAACCTCTCATAAGCACACAATCCGATATAACAACAATCTACACAACAAAAGGCCAAGAATCCAGGCAAGCAACCGAATTTCAACTTTGGTCACAACCCAAAAACCAGGTATTGTATGTTAAATAATCAATCACCTGCACAGTAATAAGAACAATTCCATGAAAACTATTTAAAACCAAACACGAGAATAAATATCCATGCTCATTCAAAAATCATAGAAGTGGTCAAAGATGGAATATTCTATTGATGCTGTTTACCTTATTCTTTGTAAAGGGTCTTTGAAGCTGTATTCGGGCTGTCAAAAATAGTTCTCTTTTGACAGCCCGATTGATCAAATGTTAGACACCAAACAAGAAGCTTCTTTTACCAGTTCAATACGCGTTCCTGCTAGCACAAAACGGACATGTTAATTGCTTTTAAATGTTTTTGTATTTGAAAATTCATTGAAATTATATAATTTTTTAAAATTTATTTTTAACATAACTTTAAAAAAACACATTAAAAAAACTAATTTAAAGAAAATAAAAATTAAGATTTTTCAAATACGAACACAACCAAAACCATAAGAGGGAACACTAACAGGGGGGCACAATGACAAGATGGAACCAAACTAAGTTTTCAAATATGGAGCAACCAGTAAGAACTTGCCACGTGGTGCTGCCTTGTGGTTTTTTACAAGGATGGTGATTGATAGATATGTGGTGATAAATTCTCTCCGGCTAGTTAGGAGGCCAAAGTGGGCATAGCTAAGAGACAGTCTTGTCCCTACGAGAAAAGGAGGAGAAGTAGAGGGTGGGGGTAATAAGAGAGGGTTCTGAGGGCAAGGTTGGAAAATTGAATTAACAATACACCGGTGGACCTAAAGCTGCTAAGGAACACGAGGCTGCCATAAAAAATTGACAGGTCAGACTCAGGGGACAAAGAGACCAGAGCATAAAAAACCCTTTTGGCCATACCGACCTTAATTGAAAGCGAGCTAACTCGGCCATGACTCGGACGAAAAACTCGGAGTTCTTATTCAAAACAATCTTTCTTTCTTTCAATGAATAAAAAACAAGAAAACCCAATTGAGAATATAGAGGTTTTGATTGTAAAGTCTTGGTCTTTCGTTTAAAAAACAACGCGTGGCCATTGAAAGGAACGTTTTTTTGAACAAAAACATGAAAACAGATTGAGACGTGTCAAGATTTGCTCGGAATTTAATGATAATCCGAACATTGAAGGCAAAAAACAAAAATTCACAATAAGCAAAAGAAAGGAAAGCCAGCAAGAAGGAAGGAAATAATACATCGAGAGAGAAAGAGCAACTGACCTGAGAAAGAGTCGGTGTGAATGGCAATTGAGTTTGCTTCTTGTTCTCTCAATTAAAGAGAGCAAAGACAGGAATGGGTGTCCTTGAATTTAGGAGGGACAGAGGATTTTGATTTGTTGGGGGTATGGTGGTGACGTTGTTGGGGTGGCTTTAAATATATTTTTCCTGGATACCGTAACTCCTTTTTATTTATTTATTTATTTATTTTTATTTGTTTAATTTAGGGATTTTTATTTTTTTTCATTTTTTTCTATGTAAATTAGGGTCACTTTTTGATTTTGCCCTGTTTAACTACGGTATATAATTAATGTGGCAGTAATTCGAGAGAGGCGATAAGAATCAGGGAATTAAAGAATAATTTATCAAATGAAGAGACATATTTTTATTATTTTTAAAGAATTCAGATATAATTTCCCCTCTTAAAATATCATATAACTTCTTTCTTTCTTTCTTTCTTTTTTTTAAAAAAGAACGTGGTAGCCTTTGAGTCCAAAGAAATACAGATGCTTTGCCATGCAAATGGTATCTATCTAAGATAAGGAGAGATTTTCTAAAAGGAAGGGAAACAGTGCGAGGAAGAAAAGGAAGGGGGTGGCTTGCAAGACGATAATGGTTTCTAGAATATCCTGGCTGGATATTCCAACCAGAGATTCTGAATGGAAGGGTGAGAAGGAAGACAAGGGACAAGGTGTCTTGTTCTTAGCCTTCCATGGATGCCCATAAGAGATTCTTTGGATTGTTGAGATGAGTTTGATCACACCAAGAAATCTTTATTTATTCTGATCCCTTGTACCTCTCGTAGATTAAATAGCTAAGACTTTGGAAATGAGATACTCCATCCACGGCTGGTTTTAGTAAGTCCTTTCTGGTCTCCCACCGTCGATATGAGACGATGCTGATGAACAAGAACAGAGTCGGCCAGTACTACACTCGACAGGGTCGAGTTTCTCTAACCCCGGGAGAGTTGATGGGGACACCAGACCCACACCACAAACTATACGAGTATATGGACGAAGACGGCGTAGGATGGCCCAGCCTGTCACGCTGTGGTTGGGAGACTAAGCCCATTTGGGCCTATTGCATTGTTATTTTATTTATTTAGCCTATTTGGGCCTGTTCATTGTTATCTTATTATTTATGTTAAACAGTTTGGGCCGAGCCCATTAGTTGGATGTTTTAGAATTTACTATTTATACGCTCTCTTGTCATTGTGAGAGTTAGTTTTGATGATTAATGAAAATTTGCAGATTTTGCATATCTCCAATCCCCTTTCTTCTTCTTCTTTGCTTTCTCTTCTCAACTTCTCCTCTAAAAGCTTCTTTCTTTTCCCGATTTTAATTTTTTTGTTTGTTGTTCCGCATCACTATAGCTAAAGCCTGACGAACACGGGTGGATAGGACTTGCCCTTTGTCTTTTAGATCAATAGAATTCATGCTTCTGTGATCTTGATTCTTGTCCATTACTGAACTTATAATGCAAGCCCGCATGCCTTGCTCTTCGCACAGCCTCGTCCAGCAGCCTTGTATCCAAATCTGTAGTTTTCCCCTGCCGGAGTCAACCAGTAAGATTCAAAACTTCTATTATATGATAATCACATGCAGCTATTCACATTACAGAAGGGACAAAAAGAAAGGCAGCAAAGTAATTTTAGTTCACCTGCCACAGCTCCACTTCCTCCAAGTTCCTTGGAGAGCTTCTCAACAAATTGCTGTGGGGTGAGACGTCGAACACTTGAAAATCCAATTTGGACCTCTGCTGGAGCCAGATTGCCACAGTATGGAGCCCAAGAAGGAAGAACTCTACTCCGTTCACATTTGGCAACTACGGGCGCCATGTCCAGGAAGTATATAAAATCATCATCATAAGATTGTCACTGTAAATTGGCATCATAAACAGTGTCTTCAATTGATCAATCACTATTGGAAATTTCTTCGGCAATGAAAGTGGTGAAGTTTATTCTCGAAAAGTGTGCAAAACAGAGAAAAAGAACTGTGATATATAGATGGTTTGCAGGCTTACAAAAACTATTCCAATTTCACTTGTCAACAACTGCTCTTCCCTCCGCAAGAGTCTAATTCTCTTAAAACACAATATGATGTGTCAAAAACACCATTCCACAAGGAGTTACCAACCATCGTTTGTTTGAATGATCCTCCAGCTTGCCAACTATGCCACTTCCGCCCTGAATCCACCACTACCAGTGCACCACCTCATGCATGTTTCAGCGAAGTTTATCAGTACTCTCTCCTTCAAATTAGAAAATTGATTCCAAGCAAAATGTGGGGAAAAAACACTCTGGAACACCATGGTACATGCGTGCATATTGGAAACTAATTTGAAAACTATTTGTGAGCTTAGCTATGTATACGAGTTTTCCAACTCAAACTTGCTTCAAATTATCCTAGAAATCTTTAAAGATGGTGAGATTTAAGACACCAAACATATCATAAGAAGCTTGAAAAAGCACCAAGAGCAAGAATTAGGACAGAGCATATGTTAGCTCCACGAAAGGAGTGATTTAACAGTACAACCACGATGAAGATTGCAACCTTCAAGCTGTCAATGAACTGTAATGCTATGGAAACATCATACAAGATTTCCAGTAAAAACAAAACAATCAACTATAATCCACAACATACAAAAATAAAGAGCAAGCATCTCAAACTCAACAGGTAACAGATGCAAAAATTGAATGAGCAAAAGAGATTGATATGAACCTCAAGTTCACAGATTTTATTTTATTTAGAATAACAATTCTCAAGTTCCCCGTCTTTAAGAGATTTACAAAGTTTCCTTACTTCAATTACAAAAGAAAATAAAAATCCTAAATTGTAAAAGAAAAATGCATGAAATTAAAAAAATAATAAGAAAAACATAAAAAATGTGAAAATTGAGGTTAGGATGGGATTTTAAAAATCTAAAGTTACTGTTAAAATAACAATTTCATGCTAATTTAACGAAAACAATATTCAAAAACTTTTATAATAATTTAAACATGATTCAATAATTAAATAAATTTTTTTTTTAATTATTATTTTGGTTTAGCACAATTAAACTTTTTTTTTATAAATTATTTTATTAATTCATAAATATATTTATTAGATTACTAACATAATTTATTTAAAACAAATTTTAATTTAGTTATAACAAATCTACACCTGATTATTCAGAATCACCAACCATCACAAGTCAAATCTCTCAAACAATAACTTCTGCCATTCCTTCAAATGATAGAATAAATGGGGCTCCAACCTTTTGATGCTTGGATTGCAAGTTCCCGATGATGACACCCGTGAAGAGCATCAAACTTTCCTAGTGCTACAATCCCTCCTGTAAGAATTGTGATGTGAAATGCGAGACCCACTACTAGCTAACATTATCAAGGTTTTAAGTGGGGAGAACAACTCTGGCTTTGTGCCTTCTTTAAACAAGACCACAAGATGGTATGTGTGTGGTAGTTACTTCTTAACCAGCTGCATGGGTCTTTTTTCAACCAAAAAAAAAAAAAACTACATGAGCTTTTAAAAAGAAATTCTTCTTTTTTTTCTTAAAAAAAAACTAGTAGGGTGATTAAAAATATTTGATAAAATAACACAAACCTAAATTTATTTGTAAAAATAATATAGTTTGATTAGAGATCAATTAACTATTAATTATATATAAAATACATCGATTGAGTTGATAGGTTATATTATTAAAAAAAAAAACAATGAATTAGGTTATGTTTTTTCTTTTATTAATTTAGAGATTTATTGATTTTGGTTTTAATTAACTGTAAATTACATTTAATTCTAAATTGATAAATGACACTATTTCGGGATAATATCAACCCAATTGGTGTAATTTTAATCTAATTAACACAATTTACGTTTAATTTAACAAAAATCAACAAATTCCTAATCTAATAAAAAAAACCTAACCCTAACAATTGGTGGGAATGTGAATGAGAATTTTATTCTCAGATGCTCTTTTTTTTTTTTGAATTTTAGTATTACCAGGTCTAATTTTTAGTTGGCTTATTTTCAATATTTTTTTTTAAAAAATATTTGGTTGGCAAAAAGATTTATGATTCAATTAAAAAGGAAACAACGCAATGAAAAGCTACAAATTTGTAACTGAATTCAGGCTATCAATTGTTAGTGTTAGGAGTTAGAAGAAAGTTAAACTTCCACTTAAATTGTAGTTCATAATAATAACAAATCTCTTTTATATTTTTCTCAATTTCTCTTAAAAAAAAGATATTTTCTTAAAAAATTCTCATAAAAATAAAATTACAAGAAAAACAACAACCCGACCCGACCCGACCCGATAAGAAGACAACGAGGCGTGTTATCTGTACTTTCAACTTCCACTCTATAGAACACAACTCTTTCGACTGTCAAACCCTTTAAAAAGGACAAAAAAAGGGGAAGAACTCTTCTCCTTCTTTCGTTAGCATCCTCGTCCTCATCCCACTTTTACCACAACACAAGCATAGCAAAATCAAACAAACATCAAGATTCTTCTTTTAATCTAAATCCCATAATCCCACTTCCAAAAAAACCCACCTTCAATGGCTTCTATTTGCATAAATGAGAAATTAACAGATGATGAACTAAGATCAATATTATCAAAGCTAGAGAATGATAAGGACAAGGAGATATTTGGGCTGGTTTGTAAGAGATGGTTAGGTTTGCAGAGTAATGGAAGGAAGAGACTTGCTGCTAGAGCTGGACCTCACATGCTTCAAAAGATGGCAGCTAGGTTTTCTAGATTGATTGAATTGGACTTGTCTCAGTCTGTTTCAAGGTCTTTCTATCCTGGTGTTACTGATTCTGATCTTGCTGTTATTGCTGATGGTTTTAGATGCTTAAAGGTCCTGAATTTGCAGAATTGTAAAGGTAAAATCACTTTTTTATGTTTTTGTTTCTTTAAATTTGGATGCAAAAAGTGTTTGTTTATTTCGTTTCCATGAAGTTTGGAGGATTCATTTTGTGGAGAGACTTTGGTGCTTCAGTGGGTTTTTGTGTGTTAATGTGGCTATGATGAAAAGAGTGTTTTTTTTTTTAATTGAATTGAGCTGCATGATTTTGAGGGTAAAGGTTTTAATTGGATTGAGCTGCATGATTTTGAGGGTAAAGGTAACTGTTTTGGTGATCTTCATGGTATATTTAGAGGGTTTTGGAGTATTTTTTATTTTTTAATATTTGATGGAAAACATGATAATCGGAGAAACTTCGAAGTTATTCTTTTGTGTCTTTAACATGGTGATTTGATTGAAAATAGGTTAAGCTTCTTTGAAAACGATTAGATTCCTATAATAGGCTTAGGCTTACTGATAAAGACTCAATATTGCTGAATTCGAAACATGGTTATCTTTTCCTTTTCTCTTGATGGCTCTGCATTTTCATGTATTTGTGATTGATGTAACAATCGGAGATTGATTTACAATATTGAGAAGCTGAAAAGCCAGTAAATTTTCTGTTTGCTGAGTCTTCCCTATTTTCTGTTTGTGAAATCATAAAAAAAAATGATTAATACTGTTAAAGAGGTATTTGAACTCAATCATATGGTGTTATTTTGGTCCTTTGCTGAACCTTCACCATGATGCAATACTAATATTGCCATGGATTCCCTTGCAAATAAGCATGCCAATATGCTCTCTTTTCATTCCAACTCGCTTTGATTGAACAAGGATGAGAGTTTTTGTCCATAAACATCAGCATTGCATGGTAAAATATTTGGTGCATTTTTTAAATCGTCTTCATTTTCATACAATTTTTGTTTTGAACACGCTCACTCTGCATACTGGCTTAGCTGTTTTAGCAATGTGATCCAGGTATCTCAGATAAGGGAATGTCATCAATTGGAGGTGGTCTTTCATCTCTACAGTCCCTGAATGGATCCTATTGCAGAAAGCTAACAGACAAGGGATTGTCAGCTGTTGCTGAGGGCAGTCAAGGCCTGCGAAGCCTGCATCTTGATGGATGCAAATTTGTTACTGATGAAGTGCTAAAAGCTCTTTCTAAGAACTGTCCAAATCTAGAAGAGTTGGGCCTGCAGGGTTGTACCAGCATAACTGACTTTGGACTTGCAGATCTTGTCAGTGGATGTCGGCAGATTCATTTCTTAGATATCAATAAATGCAGTAATGTGGGGGACAGTGGGGTTTCCACTGTTTCAGAGGCATGCTCATCTTTCATGAAGACACTAAAGCTGATGGATTGTTTTAGAGTTGGGAACAAGTCTATTTTATCTCTGGCCAAGTTTTGCAAAAATCTGGAAACCCTCATCATTGGTGGCTGTAGAGACATCTCTGATGAGTCTATAAAATCCTTGGCCACTTCCTGTCAAAGCAGTTTGAAGAACTTGCGCATGGACTGGTGTTTAAACGTCTCAAACTCTTCAATAAGCTTCATCCTCACTAAGTGCAGAAACCTGGAGGCTCTTGATATTGGGTGCTGCGGGGAGGTTACAGATTCTGTCTTTCATGGGTTAGGGGCTATGGAAACCGAAATGAGGCTGAAGGTTTTGAAAATCAGTAGCTGCCCAAAGATCACAGTGACTGGGATAGGCATGCTTTTGGATAAATGCAACTCTCTGGAATACCTTGATGTAAGGTCATGCCCGCACATTACCAAGTCAGGTTGTGATGAGGTTGGATTGCAGTTCCCTGACTGCTGTAAAGTGAATTTCAATGGAAGTTTAAATGAGCCAGACGTTCTACTGTGAGGCCATTGATTTGAATAGTTTGGAACTCTGGGATATTCTTTCTGCAATAACTCATATATAATGCTCTCCTGCACAGATCAGTTAGGATACTAGAATGAGGACATTTGTATGGTCATCGCCAGAATGGTTATGCATATTATGCATGCACACTGTTTCCTCTATTGTTTGTGCGTCTTTCTTATCCTCTTGTTTTCTCCTTCTTCATCTTCCGGCTGTGTAAAATGGTTGTTGAAAGATGTTTCCTTCATCTTTAGAATTATGGATTCTGATATGTTATTATGTTTTGATCCCACAATTATCTCTTTCTGATGCTTCATATTGGAGATTTCTTTTCTTGACTGCAATTATGAAATCTGACATGTGCTGTGTAGGAATTTTGGAGAATCTTGCTTTTCCCTTTTCTTTTTTAAGATGAACTGAAGGTTGGGATGTTGGAAGTTCGATTTTGGTGTGTACTTGGTGGAAGTTAACGAAGGCATGACATGGATCAATTGGTATGTCTAGTTCATATTAGTTTTTGATAACAAACATGATGCCTTGAAATATTTCTGCCACCGGGAGAATTATTATTAATCAACATGTATTTAAATGCCTTGGTACAATAAAATGCTAAAGGGTTTTTATTTTTATTTTTTTGTGAGGAATTAGATAAGTGACCTGTTAAATTATTTTTAATGTGAAAAAAGAGAGTCTAGGCAACAATAATTCAAGCAAATCTAGGTTAATTTTATCCAAGATATAAAATTTTAAAAATTAAATAAACCACAAAAAAAAAATTTAAAGAAAAATTGAGTTAACTTGAGCTACTTGACTAGCTTATACCTTGTGATATGAGATTGAGATTGAGATTAAAAAAAATTAGAATTTCAAAAGAAAATCTAGTAAAAAAAACTTATGTTCAATAAAAAGAAGAAGAAGCTAATTCAGGTTAATTTTACTTACCTGCTATCAGAATAATCTAATAGAAAAAAAAGTTAAAAATAACAAAGTTCAAAAGCCAACAATTTAATGACAAATGATAAAATTAAAAAAAAAATTAATGTTAAAAACAAAAGTTGAGGAAAAAATTCGAATTAACTTGACTAACTCCTTAACCATGACATGAGATTGAGAAAAAAAAATTAAACTCTCAAAAAAATAACCTAGCAAAACAACTAAATTTAAATAAAAAAATATTGAAAAAGAAAACTCAAGCAAACATGATTAATCTGCATTCAGAATAACCTAATAGAAAAAAGACTGAAAAAATCACAAAGCTTGAAGACTAAGTTAACTCATAAAAAATACAGGAAAGATATCTGAGTCAAATTAAGTTAACTCGACTAACTTATTATCTGGGATATAAGAGTGTGATACCTCAAAAAAAAAAAAAAGAAAGTGGAACAATCAATGAAGCTAATGATCTAATAATTAAATGTCAAATGATGATTTTGACAAAAAAACAATCAATTTTAACAACCTCTAAAAAAGGCCAAACTTAATCGGACATGGGTCATTTGATAAGAATTACCATGTAAGAAGACAATTATGAAAAAATGACAAGATAAATTTTATAAAAATTAAAAAATTAAAACTATCAAATATGCTGTAAAAACAAAATGAAAGAAAATAATTAGGACCTAAATCGAAAAAAAAATATCAAAAAATGGTTAAAAAATATATAATTGAAAGAATGAGGTCCAAAATTAGATAAAAAAACAAAACAAAATAAAATGTTGAGGGACAAAAATAAATAAATAAAGAAAATGAAATGAAAAAATTAAAAAAAATGAAAATTTGATAAAAAAAAAAACAAATGCAATAAAATGATAAGGAATAAAATTTTAAAAAAATTAATCAATTTTTTTTATAAAACATAGAAAAAGAGCAATCAAAAGTAGAAGAAACAAATTATATATAAAAATCAAATGGAGTAACCTACACAACGGAAAAAAAAGAAAAAAAAGAAGCTAAACTTTAAAAAGCTTGAAAGTAAAATAAATAATAATTTAAAATATATTAGTCAAAATTAATAAAATTATAAATTAGAGAACACAATTGTTTTTGAAAAGGATTGACATGAATTTCATGGACACGAGAAAAAATATATAAAAAAATATAAAAAACTTCACCACAGCCCAACCCATGAGCACATGCTATATTGATGAAAAGAGAATGACTCATTGCTTACGTCTTTATAAATTAATGATTTTGGTAACTATATGGCTTTACATAAATCACCTAAAAAGTACAAGGGTTGTCATTAGTTGATGCATTAATAATTTTTTTTTGATAATATTTAGTTATTTAAAATTACCAAATAGTCTCTAATAAAATCTAAAAAATAAAATAAAAAAACTAAAACACCCTTGAAACCAACCTTTATTTTTAATTGAAGGCTAATTTCATAATTTAATTGTTTAAAAAATAAAAAAGAGAAAGAAAGCCTTTTGTGTGTGTTCATTTTTTTTCTCTTTTAAAGATTCGATGTAAATTCATTGTATAATATTTTTTGAAAAGATAAAAGAGCTCATGATCAAAAGCTTAATATTTTTAGTCATTTCATTATTGAAAAAAAAAAGTCAAGATTAATTTATCCTAATTAATTTTGCAATAACTAATAAATCCCTAAAAGAGATGATTCTACCCCTAATTACTACTTTTTAAGTATTTTGTTAAAGGATATAAGCTTCATTTTATTATTCCAATAAACAATGAAATATGTCTTTGGCTACAGTGTTTTATTAATAATTTTTAGTTTTTTTTGTATTTTTTTTATTTTTAATTTCAAACTTAGTTTTTTTTTTCATTCTTAACTTTGGTTTTATTAGGTATTAAACTTTATAATTTATATTGATTTACTTTATATAAAGTTATCTCAATCTCATTATTCGTGCATAAATTTTGCAAGTTAGCCGTGTTGACTTGAACTTTTTTAATTATATTTTTTTAATTTTATTATTTAAAATTAAGTTGATTAAGAATTTATTTTCATAATTATTTTTTGATTTTTTCTATGAGATTATCATGGTTTTATAACCCAGATTACGAGTTTTGTAGGTTAACTAGGTTATTTTTTTTTGTTTTTTTTAATTATTTGATTTTAATTTTATCCTTTAATATTGGATTGATTAAGAAATAAACTTTATAATATTTTTTTATTTATTTTTTATAGAGTTACCTCAATCTTTTTATCTGAGTTTGACAGATCAATCTTGGTTGACTCAAGTTATTTTTTTTATTTGATCTTATTTTTTATCTAATTATTTAACATTGGATTGATTGAGAATTGAATTTCAAATTTTTTATAGAATTATCATGATCTTATGATATGGGTCGTGAGGTAAGTGTGCTGTGTTGGTTTTTTTATTCGTTTTTTAATTGATTTTTTTTTTATTTTTTAATATTAAATTGATTGAGAATTAATTTTCATAATTTATTTCAATTTGTATTTTACAAGCTTATCTTAATTTCATCCTATAATGGTTTTTAAAATTTATTTTTTTAAAATTTAAAATTTATAACAAAAAAACAAATTAATCTAACCCATTACAGCGAAGTAACTAGATGGTTTCGAGGCAATGATGTGTATCAGGGGTGTTACCTTGCTTCTTATGCAAGATTCCGTCGGATTTATTTCGTGGAATAGAAATCTGCTTCCACGTGCATGAATCTTTTAGGAGCTTTGGTTGCTTGCTGATTTATAGTAATTTACAGCCATGATGGAATCAGTGGGTCCCCATGTTGGAGTTTGTTAGAGATATACAATGTCACCAGTGTTCTTACCTGCTATGTGAAGGAATGGAAAGGTGTCATGGTCTGCTCCTGATTGTTGAAACGGCCAACAGAAGTTGCAATCATTTTGTCAGTTGGTTCACGTGGTAGCTAGGCTGTGATTCGTAAAGTATTCTTCCAGCTCCATTAAACCTCAAGATTTATTGTCCATTTAGGATTACAGAATACTCCACCAGCCTTTTCATTGCATTACTTTACCCGACAGTCTCTTGGTGGATCAAGGACTCAATGAAGGCTTGAGAAAACCATCTTGATCAAGTAGCTTTGCGCTGCTGGAATGCCATCATGGAGATCTTGGTAAAATACCTTTCTTCCATGTAATTCTCTATCAGTGAATCCACAAAAAGGGAATAAAGGTTTGCACCAATCCAGTAATGTACAGAGTTGCAGTGTTGAACTGGTGGTGCTTGTTAATGTGGACAGCAGACACCTCATAGAGCAACAAGAGTGACTGTTACCACATGAGAACTAGCTTGATATACATGTTGTCATTTGGCCAAGATCATTTAATGTTTTAATCCAGAAGGTTGAGAAATCAAGATCCATTAATTCCCGTAGTTTAGAACAACTTTTTACATTTTCTTTGATCAACTGATCGTGTTGACCCCTCTCACGTCATTTAGTTACATTTGATGAAACAAAAGGGAGAAAAAACTTCTGTCTACATCAGAGTTGAATGGCTTGTATTCATCTGTTTTTGAGTTATTGCCTGCTGAAGAGACTTGAAAGCTTTCTGACAGCTGAAGAAACCCATAAACCAGAAATCAAAATCATCTACTGTTACTATTTCTATGTACTTCTCCGATGGCTGCTTCACATTCTCACTTTGGTTGGCTGTCTTTACCTTTCTTAACGGGATAACTACCTGCATAATTTGATATTGTTCCTGGATGTTAGAGATCAGAGATGCTAGAGAGGGAGACGAGACGAAGGAGGGACAGAAGTAATGTTATTTTTCTTGTTACCTTATAATGAATTCTGGTCAACTTTCCTTCTGGAGAAGACAATTTAATCGATCTCTCACTGCAGAAGGCAATCTTTTCAGTGGAGGTAAAGAGGAGGCCTGCAATAGGACCAGCTGTGGTTGACAAATAACATTGGCAAACCTTCAGCAATCTCTCCCCTTCACTAACACCAAATAGCTGCCTGAAAACTTTCTTCACCCCTCCTACTCGAATAATCCTAGCCCCCAAGCTCAGCTTCCCAATAAGAGTTTCAGTGATCCTGGTCCCCAGTTTCACTGCAGTTACAAAATTGAGATGAATTTAGCATCTGCAAGGTGTTGAATGAGAGAGGAAACTTGATGATTCTTGATCACGAATCACATTTCCAATAACTTACCATGCTCGCGGATTCCATGAGCAAATTTGTCAGCTTTTTTCCCTAGCTTGTTCATCCTCTTAAGCAATGAATCTATTTTATCTGCGATATTATAAGACTAGCTGATTAGTAAACAAAAGCCTCCCTTCATTTTTAGGGGATATCAAAAGAGGAAATGGGGGAAAGAAATATACTTTGCTTGCATGTCAGAGATTTATTTGCAGGGGTTGGAATATAGCGCTGTTCAGCATTTTCAAGTAACAGTCTTGGCATCTTCTCAACAGAATATGCTGCTGATCTGATTGGAATTCCAATAACTTGTTTCTGTGAAGTCTTCATATTTGATGGGCAGGGAAGATTTGATAACGCCTGGAATTAATGACTCGAACTGTTTTTCCGGTGCTGCTGCAAATGTCAACAGACCAGAGTATTTTGCTTTGAGAGATATGTAGAGGCTGCTTAGGTTGATCAAACCTTGTATTCTGCAAGTCTATATAAAGAGGTACGAATAGTTGGTGAATCTCTTAACTTTTTATGGTTGCATGACTCACCCATGGCTCATCGACAAGGACAAAGGCACATATAATGACTCATAAAGATTATTTCAAGGACAAATGTAGAAATGATGGCATGTTCTATTGCTTTAAGAAAAGATATTGTTGTGCCCTAGTGTTCTTATTTTTAATCTCTCTTGAATCACAATTAAAAAAACTCAGTCAAATTTTTAAAATTTCCTGGAAGTCATTTTTCAGGGATTGGCCATTGACTTCAAACATGGTAGCTGATAGGTAAAGGCATTTTCTCCAGAATTAAAAAAAAAGAAAAAGAAATTGGGAATGGGATCATTCTGTTTTAGCATCAGCAAGAATGACAGTAGTGCTGGCAGAGCATGTTAATTGATGACCAGAAAACTGTTCTTAGGAGGTGAGAAATCTCATCCTGTTTTTTTCAGTTTGCTTCCTCGGAATACTTTCCCTTGAAAAAGTCTAGAAAATCTCTAACCTTTTTCCAAGTGAGGCCATGAAAATAAAGAATCTTTTTCTGATTAGTTGGGACTGTTCTTAGTCATAAATCCTAACAACCATCGCATGGCTTCTTTTCTTCAATTTGCTGACTGTGTGAGGGTGTGTCCATAAAGCTTTTTGTGCTGGCACTTTAGCTTTCTATGCCACCCCACTCTTTTTTTTTTTTTTTCCATCTCTGTTGTATCAACCCCATTTTAAGGTGGCCATTACATCCTTAAAAGTTGTTTGACAACATGTCCTTTGTATTAAGTGTCGTCAAGCTTCCACGAGGGGCTGCTGCTTTTTCTTAGATTGTGGAAGGTGTTGAATTGCAAGGATAAGACAGACCCGACAAAAACCAGCAAAGGAACAGTCATTTGCTCAAATGGATTAAAACTCCTCTTTAATGCTGAGTTGTTGGTGACTGGATTTCAAGCAGGTCAAGCACCATGCTTGTAAGCATACTACAACTCTTTTTTTTTTTTTTTACAAATTAAATGATTATCTGAACATTAACCCATGATTGTGAGGTAGTTGCTGTGAGGAGCCACCGAAGGTCATAAACCAGAGGCTACTTTGAGTAACCCTTGTAAGTATAGCTTTTCACGTTTGAGGGAAAGGCAAACTGGCATGTCATATCCACATCAGCTTCATTTCTCACATGTCAATCCATTATTTGAATAAAAAAATCTTCTTTTACTCACAGCAGAAAGCCGACCGCATCAAAAAAGGAAGAGAGAAGGGTAGAAGATTGCTCTTCCTGGAAATCAAACAGTTGGGAAAGGACAAGATTATGATTTTCTAGTCCTACTACACATATAGATCCAAGGTGAATCATATGGATTATGCTAAAACAATTAATATAAATTGCTTCCCCCCAAAGAAGAATGAAAGAATAAACAATATCTTGTTTCTAAAGCAATCAACCCTCCATTAGCAGGGAAGATTTATTCACTTCTGGCCTTAACATCTCCAGCTGCCTTTCTGTTCAGTGGCTGTACATGCCTCCAGAGTATGCACTGAGAGATGCAGAATCAGTTTAGGATGATCGAACTTGGATTCTGAAAGCACACACATTCATGAAAGGATGAAGGGGCTCCGAATTGGCGAGCCTTTAGCTTCTTGTTGCATTAGTCACCTTTACCTCATCAACAAGAACAAAAGCACATTGACCCACAACGATAATTGAAAGATACAGATATGATGATAGCTTAGATTTGATTGCTTCAAATCATAACAATAGATGTTGTAGGTCCACGTCCGCCCACTTTTTAAATTCTCCAATTCACAATATATATATTTTTTTCAAATGTTCAGAAATTGATTATTCAAGGTACTGATATACAGTATATATTTTCTTGAGAAGGTACTGTTATACATGATTGTATATGAGGAGAAACGACTTGATTTCTTAAATTTTTAAGGATGGGAAATCTTTTATCTTACTGTGATCAGGAAAAATTGGATTTGGTGGAGGACTTCCTCACTCAACAAGTACATGAAATGACCTGATTTTTTTAAAAAATCAATTTTAAAAAATAAAATTTAAATTTAAAAAGTAAATTACATTTCCATCAATGAATATGTAGAACCATAAAAATCCTTCATGAATAATAAGATAAAAAAATCATGTATTATATTAAAATAAAATTATTACTAAAAAAACAGGTTGCAAAATAGGATTGAAACCAACTACTAAAACAAAATAAAGGCAAAAGATATATGGTACACCCTTAAAAAAAAAAAAATCCACGCACATGTATCTCAATTTGCAAGCACACATGTACTTAGCCTGATAAGAATGCCTGACCTGCTTTATTTTAAGTCGGGGATTAAGGATGTGTTTAGTATTGAAGTTGATTTTGTTATTGTAGTTTTAAAAAAATTATTTTATAAAATATATTTTTAATTGAGATTGGTTTAGAAAAATATATGTTTGGTTAAAACTATAATTAAAATTGAATTTAAATAAAAAGTAGTTTAATATGTTTGGTTAAAAAATATTTTTTAAATTGAGCTTGTAAAATAATTAAATATATATATATATATATATTAATAATTTTTAATTTAAATATTATAGATTTAACTACTGTTATTATATCATGAAATAAATAATATTGATATCAAATATTTTTTATTATTCCATTAAATTATGTACAATGATATTACATACGAAATATATCCAACAAAGACTATATTTTTTATGGTTTCTTAAGCGCACAACAACAAAAACTAAATTTTTTATTACGTCATTAAGCGATCTTCTTTTAATTTTTTGAATAAAACACAATTAAAATAAAAATAAAAATTGAATTTCTTTTTAACTGGATCGGACCCGACAAGAACATAATTGGAATTGCGATGAAATTCCACAAATGCTATGTTATCATGCGATATCTTTCTAATTTATGTAGCGTTATTAAATAATATTAAATACTAGTTTCTCAAGTGAAACATAATTTTTTAAAAAAATTTATAATTTCATTATATACAAAATTTATTCGGCAAGAACTACAAAAAAAATAATTTTTTGAGCATGCAATAAAATTAAGTAAAATATTATTAGGAATAAAATTGAGATTAAAGTATAAGTAAATTTAATTTACTTTAAACTATTAAAAAAAACAATAATGATCATATTCATGTGAACAATACGAGTAAAATCAATTAACTGTAATGATTTAAAAAAAAACTAAATTTTTCACCCTGTTTTTCAAAAAAAAAAATATAATAATACAAGTGAATTAATTCACTTGTACTGTTCACTTTAGTGAACAGTACAACAATGAAGCATAACTCCACTATTCTGCTTCTCTCCTACGAGAAATAGCAAAATACTACTTCTTCAAAACATGCAGTTTAGCTGAGATTTTGATGGATTCCATCATTATAAAGCAGTTTTTTCTTGCTAACCAAACAACATTTAGTGTGGCTGTGGGTGACCCTCCCGCAGCCACATTACCAAATGGGCAATAATTTATATAGACCAAGCATCCATAATATATTTTTACAAGGGATTTTTTTTAAAATTTTTTATTTATAATTCATTAAAATAAAATAGTTATTAAGATTAAGATTATAATAATTTAGTCTATTAAATACCTTTTAGTTTTTAGTTTGTTTTCAATTAAGATTATAATAAATTTATGTAATATTAGAAAATTTTCCTTTCTTACAGCCTCTGCAAATTATTATTTTTTGTTTTTTCCCTTAAAGTTTAAGGAAAATTAATTATGATTAAATAAATAAGATTTTATTTCATTAAATATCATTCAATTTGACATTTATTTTTAAATTAGATTAAAAAATCATTACCATACAATAAATAAAATAAAAATCGAGGAGCTATTATATCTTCATTTATATTTATTTCTCAATTTTTTAATATATATTTTAATTAGTATTAACATTTTTTTCTTTTTCTTCTTCTTTGCATTTATTAATATATATAATTCATAATTTATTTTATTAAATATATAAATTAATGTTTTGATTCAGAATTAAGATTTTTTTTCAAAAATAGAAATTAAATTGTTTTTTTTTTTTAATTTGTCCACATTCTAACTCTTGCAACTCCATGCTTTTTTAGCCCTGTTTATTTTTCAGTTTTAAAAGTATTTTAAAAAAAATAATTTTTTTTATTTTTTATTTTAAATTAATATTTTTTAGTATTTTTAAATTATTTTAATATACCGGTATTAAAAATAATTTTTATTAAAATAAAAAATATTTTAAAAAAATCACAACAGTAATAATGTAAGCGCTTTTCCTTAATGTAACTGTTACTCGTATAGAAATAAGTAATAATATACAGAATTACAGACTCGTTACAAGGTATGAGATACTTTTACGAGTTCTTTCTGAGATATCACATAGCCAAAGGAGGAGAAATTACAGAAAGCAAGCATACACATTATAATGCATGATAGTAATAACCGTCGACAGCAGTAGCCGACATGTCTTCAGATATTTGAACATCTGATCAGGCAGAAGGGTAAGAGGCTTGCATTGCTATGCCACAGAGTCCCTCCTTTGCAGATATATCTTTCTGCATTCTGATGTATCCTCCTTCGCCCCATTGTGCACCCCATGAGTTCTTCACTAGCCAATATTTTGTTCCATCGCTGATCCCGTAACCAACAGCCGTAACACCATGGTCTAGTTGAGTGCCGCAGCTTCCTGTAAAGATGCCACTCGAGTAGAATTGGAACTCAAATCCACCAGCATCAATGGCCACAGAAACTGGTTGCTTAGCAACAGCCTTAATCAGTGCAGCTTCGCTGTTTGCTGGCACATCTTCGAACCCGGTTATCTTTGCGGCATGGTTGGCTTCTTTTTGAGTGTTGCAAGTTCCATCTGTTCCTGTATAAGGGTAGTTGGCCTCAGTTGTTAGGCCCTTGTTTTGTTCAATGAATTTGAAGGCATCATCCATCAAACCACCATTGCAGCCTTGATCCTCACCCTTGGTGTCACAGTCAACAACCTCTTGCTCTGAAAGGGAGATCAATTTACCAGTTGTGAGCTGATTGATTCCTTCCATTGCCGCCACTGCCGAAAATGCCCAACAACAACCTAAATTTTGATACAGAGCAAGAAAAGGAGTTAGAAAGTATCCCTCTGTAAGATGTTGCTGTTATCACTACTCACTAGGAAAGGATTAGGCGCTTACCACACTGTCCTTGGTCCTTGACGGGGGTCACGGCTCCTTTCTTTCTCCAGTCCATGGAATCTGGCACTGCAGAAACGTTTTCATATCTGAAAGGACCTGCTTGTGGAGAGCACATATGGCCCTTGAATCTATTACGTGAAGCTTTAAATTCTTCATTTGACAGATCGGCAAATTGATTGACACCGAGTTTGTAAGATTTGCCGGTTTGGCTGTTAAACTCATCTATGCGTGCAACGTTTGCCTTGAATATGTTGTAACGCGTCTCCTTCTCAGCGTTATCCTTGTATACACGTCCATACTGAGCCATCCATTGCTCATGCCTCTCGTACATGGACACATCCTGGAGGGTACGAGCGACAGATTTGGAAGGCCAAGCTACCAACACGAAGAGCAAGGCCAGACAAATTTGGGATTGTTTTGTGAACCTCATGATAGACTTGGCAGTGGTAGCAGCTACTATAGTAGTGAAGAAATTAGAAAGCAGGCAGGCACACTTATCTCTTTGCATCTTTTGAGGTTTATATAGCGCATCTGCTCATATATACCGTTGTGCTTATAATATTTCAAGGCTTGCCTTTCAAGTCTGCGTACCCTTGAAAATGTTGTGATTCTTACCCCCGATGATGTTCGAAATGTTTCCCTATAATTCCGACTTCTTTTTTGTATGGCTTATGAATGGAGCATGAAGTGATGGTTTACCAGGGGATTTTCGTCCTATACTTTGGCATGGAATATTGATATACAAGCAGAAGCAAACAAAGACACTTTTACCGTGCCGTTTCTTCAAATCATGGGAATGGTTTACATCAGATCAACTAAAACAATCAGCAAACATTGTAGTGCAATTGTCTCTGAGCGGTAGGACTTGGAGACATGTTAATTATTGTACTACTAGTTCACTGTGACTAAGGTTCAACATAAACACTTTGAAACAAGAAACATACACTGATTTTTAGGCATTGAGTCTAGATTTAAGACATGTGATGTTGCTAAGTTTCTTTTCAATAATAATTTTTGGGCAACTGGCAGGAATTTTCTACTCATTGGATACTAACTTAGATTGTATAATGTTGTCTTGATATTTTCTTCTTTATATTTTTTCGGGTTCTTAGAAGCCGTACATATAAAATTTCAAGCATATTAGTTTTTCTACACTACTAAAGTTTTTCTACACAAAATATCTAATGTTGTCTTGACATTTTCTTCTTTATATTATTTTCTTCACCAATACCATGCCATACTTCTCTATAAAATTTTTTGAAGACTCGAATATTCCAAGGCAGAGTTTATTTTAGGTTGTCATACCATAGTTTGCTAATTTGGTTGTCATATCATAGTTTGCTTTTGAATGTGATTTACTATAAAGTGGTGTATGTCCTAAACTAATGCATGAGTTTTGTCCAATATTTTGGCTTCAAATGCTCTCACCGTGCCGATTGATTCACCAAATGAATTGTTTATTTTAGGTTATTGTATAATAAGAATAATAACTTCTATAATCTTGAATCAAGAATGGAGAATGCACCTTCCTCTACATCTTCTTAATAATTTCCCAGTGCTTTCGCATTGCAACCAAGAAATTACTGAAAGAAATGGCAGCGTACTCCATATAATCGCACCCATCTCTTTGTCGCTAGAAAGGAGACAACAGAAATAACTTTTTTTTGCCGTGAGTTCGGTATCAATAAGCAAAATATAATTTTCATGCATTAAAGGTCCATGGGCTTCTTAAATTAGTCAGGTGGAACTGGCCCGGAACACTTACTTGTCTCATGTAAGAAAGAATGCCCGAAGAAAACAGAGAACAAAATGGACCACAATAGACTGACCCAACGTTAGACCTCAACTTTCGATTGTAGCTGCCGTAACAAGGCGATAATTTAGGTTAACTATCTAAATTTTGTATTTTTAGAAAAAGAAAAGAAGAGAACATTATACTAAAAATAAAATTATTTTTTTGAGATATCAAACTTAGGTTAACCCAATCATAGGCTTCAAACTTGATTATGAGATGTCTTGAAAGCATGGTTTTTATATTCTACACAATTCAACAAATTAATTTAGAAATTTAGTAACATGTAATTTAACTTTGGTTAGGTTTAAAGTTAACTTAAACACAGATTTGATCCAATTCAATTTAACCTGAATGATCTGATCAATTTGGTCAATATTAAGTTCATACTCGTGTAATTAGTGAAATTCAAATACATGATTTCTCTCTTCTTCCTATACACCAATATTATCAGTTTGCTATGGATACATTTTTTTATTTATAAATTCATAATATTGACTTATCAAATCAGCTTATTGACCTTATGTATCAACTTGTGACCTATTAAATTGTGTCCAAATTAAATCTCTAATTTTTTATTTACTTTTTTTTAAAAAAAAAGGTTTATTGTCTTAATCATAGTTTATAAAGAAGATAAGAGAGAAACAAGTAGTGTATGTCCTAGTCCCTAGTAGTAAAGAAGTTGGAGAAGAGGATGATATTAATGATTGTCCCAAGAAAGCACTATATTGACTTGGTTCTAGGTTCTTATCTTTTAAACATACTAGCTTTAGACTTCACTTGAAGGAAGCTAAAATATTATAGAAACATGTTGTGTAATTGTTATATAAGATGTAAATTTAGAAAAGCATGAGTCTATATATAATTTCTAATAAGACCCAAACTATATCAAAAAATTTATTAGAAGTTTTAGGTAGGTCAATAACAAAGAAGCTTAAAGATATATTTAATAGGTTTATTCAAAATATTTAAACCTATGTAATTTCAAGAAGGTTACATCCTTAACAACTAATAATTAAATCTTAATCAATTTAATCTATGAACAAAAAAGTTTGACCATCTACTTTGTAGACTTAATTAATTTTGGTATCATGGGCTATCCATCTACTTTGTTTCCATGTGTTTTATAAATTTCTTATTATGTATGGAAATATAAAAGGCTAAGAAATAATTATTTTTAAAGGGTGGAACCACATCCTATTCAATCAAAGGTCTTTTTTAAGTGAGGATTTCATTCAACAATTATTTATTTTTATTCATAGTGCACAACAACTTAACATTATTTTTTGTAATTATTATTTTTATTATTATTCATGTTTTGGCCCCTTTTTTAGATATTTTAGGCCTTATTTTAATTTAGGTTAATGTTAACTTATTAGATTAACAAGGGTTTTGTATAAATATTATTTTGTAAGACATTATTTCTTTAGGTTGGATAATACATTATTGTAGCATATTTTGTGTGTGTTGTGAGAGAATTATTTTATTTTGGTTTTTCATTGAACTACTTTGATTTATAAAAACTAACTAAGCTTTATGATGTCTTTCATACTTTTCATTCTTGTCTCTTAATATGTTTAACCACAAAATAGAGTTTCACAACTTAATATATTGATGTCATTTCTTGATATGGAGATTATTTAGACATAATTTGTTGGGTTATTTCTGAAAATTAAAAAAAAAATCATAATGGGCGTCAACATTTTTCTTTCTTTGTTAGTTTTGGCTAAAATATATAAAAAAAATAGTGTATTTTCTTAGTTTGGGTTATTTGAGTTTTATTTCATTAGTTTTCTTATTCTCATAAAAAAATTTGTATCCTCAGATCATTTATGTTTAGAATGAATTCATTTTGCTATTTGTAATTTTATATTCATAGTTTTTTGTTTTTATTAATTCTTGAGTCTATATATATTATTTTGGATCCGTGAATCTGAATTTCTTCAGGAGTTTGGGTATCATGACTGCTGGGGTCTTTACATAGTACTGTGATAAAAGTGAGAGTGAAGTCATAGGTTTAAGATATTCCTAAATGAATAGCTTTGTGAGCTGCCTATGCAGCAAAATATATAACATTTAGTTACACTGCATATATTTCTCGATGCACATATGATGTATCAACTCGTGGGGTCTTTAAATAGTGCTATAAAGTGAGAGTGAAGGAGCATGTGTAAGTTTTTCGGGAATACATATCCTATGAGCCGAAGTATGATGGTATACAATAAAATATATAATTTCTTGCTCTACTTTTGTTCATATAAATAAGATGCTTAAATGAATGCAAATTACGAATGATATTGGCAATGTGTTTTGTGAAGAAATATTGGGAAGCTAGGAGTGTACTGAATAATAGAATCATGTACAATATTGAATAGAAAAATTAATTGTAATTGAAACTCTTAGAACACTTTAAATTTACGGCAATGCTTATAGCCTGCAACTGCTTTGTCAAGTTTCAGACGTCCTCTATCTTCACATTAGATCAGAACTTGAAATTGATGGAAATGGCATCTAGATAGTTAATGATGCATACAAAGTGATGTAGTTGGACTTTGCTGTAACAACTATATAAAAATTTATTCTAGATAAATTATATAAATAGCTTAACAAATATATTTATAATTAAAATAAGTTTAGACTCGAGAGGAGATTTAATTATACTAAACTAGAATAATTTAACAAATATATTTATAATAGAATAGGTTTAGATTTGAGAGAAGATCTAATCGTATCAAACTAGAATAATCATTTAAAAATATCATAAATTTTTATTCAATTATTGAATTGTATTTAAATAGAAATTTCTGGAAGAGGTTTCTCACAGCAGCTTAAGAAATGAATTTAATCAGTAATATAAACTCCATGCATGCTGATGATGCAGAAATGCTGGCAACAAAAGTTTTGAATAGGTTAAATTGTAATGATGTTTTTCTGATTATGGTTTGTCATAGAGGGAAAATGGAGAAAGTGGTCAATGTGAATAAGGCAATGCATAAACCACTCTAGAAATCATCAAGAGAATGGCATCGGAACTCTCTTCAGAATTCTCCAACTGTTTTTCAGTGCACAAGAAATGAAGGTACCTTTTGAAAACACTCCATCATCTTAAATGCATTGTATCTTTAAGAGGAAAATTCTATGCATGCTACACTGTTACAAAAGCACGATCGGATGGTATTCAGGCCTGGAAGAATGGTTCTAGCCGTCCAAGGATCATTGTATAAAAAAATTTCTCTTTTCAACTGTCACATTAATGCTAGTGATTCTTGTTCGGAGATCAATACCATCACAACTTGAGACCTTTCAGCACCAGTTCAGGATGCAGAGCCGACATTCTGTCCACATTTTTGTTTTGCTGGCTTTCCTCAGAGCTTGCCAGCCATGCATACTGCCGCCTGGTCAACAACATGAAATCTTGAAACTTGAATTCTTCAACTCCTGCTTCTTCTCGCGTGGGGGGGAAGAAGCTGATGTGGGTTTGATGTGGCAATTCTCTTTGTGAGTAGAGCATTAAAGTACAAGTCATCATGTTCTTTCTCAACACAAGTTGCTGGTGTCGGCCTTTGCATTCTACCATTTGTATTCCTTTTCTTTTCCACTAAGGCAAAGGACCAGACCTTTACTGTTCATGACTCAACGCTGAGGTCGGCATCTGGGAGAAAAAGGATTAGATAACATATTATGGTTATGTAAGGAAAGGCCATAAAGGTTGCATTAATTTTTCCAGATAAAGAAATCCATGCACTTCTTTGTCATTGTTGTGCTGTGATAAGCTTGTTCTTTTTTTCTTTTTTTTTTTCCTATGACTAGGTAATTAACCAGCAATATATAGACCTCAGTACTGCTCTTTTATCGAAGTCATTCTCGTTTCGGCACAACCAAATCAGATTCTCTGCAGAGACTTCTGGAGTTCGAATTCTGATGTCAGAAAAACACCATTTACCAACTTGCCAACATTGCACTTGTTCAGCAAAAGCCCTTTTAAGCCCCCCTTTTACCTGTCTTGATGTCAAAAGCAGGATAACATCAGAAAGCTAAAATGCCAACTCAAAAGGCATCAATGCCACACTGTCAAGAGTCGGTGTGAGAACCAATAGACACACCACAATGCTTTGTTTGGATTTTGCATGATTTAAAAGCTGTCCCCACATAATTGGAGTACTGTTAATCTTCTCGGGCCCCTTCTCATGATGGAATTAACTTGATTTCCCCAAAGATTGCCTTCCTCGAATCAGGGCAAGGACGCATTTACGGGGTGGCCTGTTCCTTCCAAAGCTTGACAATTTTTACGAATTTCCCCTACACTTCTAAAATTCTCAAGGAATTGTTATGAAGCAGTCCCCCAAAATAACAATTATGCATTTTGGCCCTCCAATTTGTCTAGTCTAGATTCGTCCCTGAATCATGGCAGTCTTAAATTTCGTCGATACACAAATAAAACCTCCATAAACCATTGAGTCTTTTTCTTTGCTGTTGTTTCTTGGCATAGCAGAAGGGACAAAAAACAATGGGTCAATTTTCTTGAGCAAGTGACGACATTAATTCTACCCTGCCTCAATTTTTCTTTTTTATTTCCCTAGAGTCTAGACTTGTTCATTCTCTATGAAAAGAATTCTTGCACAGCGAGAGCCAAGTTGTTAAATAGAATTTCATAAAAGAAGATTTGGGCCTTTTCATAACTCCTTTTCTGTAAGCAATCAATCTCTTACCGAGTCTTCCTTTATTTTTATTGACGAGCCATAGATGATTCATGCTGTGACCCACAAGCAACAACCTATCCCTTTAAATACCATTGCATAATACAAGAGTTCTTCAACCATAGGAATCAAAGCATCTCTTCTTATAGATATCTGTTCTTGCTGATAACAAAAGAGACAAGAGGCTAGAGTAAATTTCCAGCTTTTCCATCAGAAATGAAGAACACATTTCAGGATCAAGCTTTAGGAATTCCAATCAACTCAGCAGCATACACTGCTAGAAGATCGCCTCTGAGATACTTGCCAGGACCCGATGGCCAATACCCTCAGGCCTATTTTAAACAATGCAAAGCAGACTCGATGCTCAAGATGATGAACAAGCTAGGAAAGAAAGCAGACAATTTTGCAAATGGTGTTCGAGAGCATGGTAATTACTTTTCTCCTGAAATCATCCAGTCTTCAAATTTCATGCGAGTTTTTACTTTATCCTAACAATGGCCTTCATATTCTTGATAACTTTGAAACTGCAGTGAGACTAGGGCCAAAAATTAGTGAAACAGTCAAAGGAAAGCTGAGCCTGGGGGCTAAGATTCTTCAAGTAGGAGGGGTGGAAAAAATCTTTAAGCAGTTATTTGTTGTTATCGAAGATGAAAAACTGTTGAAGGCTTCCCAGTGCTATTTGTCAACAACAGCAGGTCCTATTGCAGGCCTTCTATTCATCTCCACTGAAAAAGTCGCCTTTTGTAGTGAGAGATCAATCAAATTCTCTTCTCCGAGTGGAAAATCAGTTAGAGTCCATTACAAGGTAACTTCAACAACACGTATTTGAATAATTTCTCTCAGCTTTTCTTCCTCACACATTGTTTTTAACATTTTACATGAATATTTTGCAGGTATTGGTTCCTCTCAAGAAGATAAAAATGCTTAACCAGAGTGAGAATGTAAAGAAGCCATCACAAAAGTATCTGGAACTAGTTACAGTGGATGATTTTGAGTTCTGGTTTATGGGATTCATAAATTATCAAAAAACTTTCAAATATCTTCAGCAGGCAATGTCCCAAATCTGAGATGAGATGAATGTCGCTTTCTAGCTAGGGACTTAAATCTTCTACCTCGTCAGAAATTCGGAATATTAAGTTCATGGAGAGAGCAAAACTAGACACAACTACAGTACTGTATCAAATTTTGTTAGTGAATGTATAAATTCTTAATAAATTACTGTAATTAAATTCTTGTGAATATTCTATGATTTTCAACAAGTTTGCCCAGGAAAACAAAATTTCACCTAGAGAAAAGTTCTGAAATGTATGTCAACATTTATAATGTCACAAAATGTTTTCCTCATTATGTGTTGAAAGGCGCAAATATAAATTGGGGAATCGAATCCTAGCTATAGAATGGTTATTCAAGAGTTGAGCAACCAGCATATACATATATTTAACAATCCCATCCGAAAAATAAATATATTTTCTCCATCTTTCTCAAAAGGAATACTAACCATGCCTGCTCGCACCATGTACAAATCAGTCGGCTTTCCCTAACTTGTTCTTCCTTTTAAGCACCGAATACTTTCCTTGAAATGTGAAGATCTACCACCCCATTACTAAACACCTTTCTTTCATGCACTCGCTGATAGATAGAGGATAGAAGTTCATTTTGTTTCAACTTGGAAAATTGCATTGGATTAGATAAGTAACTTTCGGACGTTCAATTGTGAGTGAGACTAATTTCATAATTGGAATTCTTTTAACTAGATTGTGAAACAGGCTCTTTATTTTCAATGGAAGGCAAGGATTCCTTCTCTCTTTCTTTACATTCAAGGAAGAGGTAGTTGCCATGATGAACCGCCATGTATGCTGCGAACGTATTTCTTAGCACAAAAAGCATGGTAGGTAAATCTTAACATTTTATGCATGAATAATCAAAGCCACAGCAACAACAATAAAGGCATATCCACTGACTCACAATAGACATTACTTAAAATATGTTTTGGTGGTGGTAAAGAGGTCCAAGTCTTGTCTGTTGAAATTGAACGAAGTATCAGAAGAACACACTTGGTGTTTCTTCTGAATGACTCTATCTTTAGGCATGTAGAGCTAATGGAAATAGAAGGTTCCAGACACTAAAATATCAGGAAAATGTTATGTTTTTCGCCGAGAAAAAGAAAATAAGATTGTGACAGTAGTGTCTGATACAATGTTTCTCTATAAGATCATAAATCAAGAGACGGTTAACCAAAGGGATTGTTCAGTTAATTTACTATATAGTTATACTTCTCAGTGTAGTCTTGTATATCATTCAAATTAAACTTGACTGATTCGTAAAACATCCCTAATTAGTTGGGACAACTTTTAGCCTTCGCTTTTTTTATTTTTTGTGTCCAGACATGCAATCTTACAAGCATTTGTCTGTGCCTCTTATTTGCTCGTACTTTCTAAGCTGGTGGTGGTATGGAATTTATTATTTCGAGCTGGAATTCTAGCTTTCTTTCCGATGCCGATTCTCTTTTTAAAATAAAAGATAAGAAAAAGGAATGGGAAAAGGATAGTGCAAAACAGAGAGATTACTTAAGTAACTTACATGCAAAAAAGCTCACAATCAGTGATGTTGTTTGAGTTAGTCTTTTTTACCTTAGATTTCTTCAGATTATCAAACAAAATCTCCTATTTTCCTCTCATTAGCCATAAATCCATAAAATGGCTCGTTGCAGTTCCTGGAAATTATAACCAGGGAACCATTTCTAGGAGCGAAGATCAGTAAAGGACTTGGACTTCCAGTTAATTCACGACAATGCTCAAGGATTGGACTGTCTCCAAATCCTCCTTTCTAATTAAATTCCATTTTTTAGCAGGACATGCGATTTGGTATTTGAACCTTCATTTCTTGGAAATGATTACTGGCGTGCACAGTTCCAAGGAACTGAGACTCAAAGTTCGGATCTTTTACAGATATCATAACACCATATTTCACGAGAACATTGGCCATTTCTTTACGAAGAAGGTGATAGCTTCGGTTATATATTAATGACTTTGAAATTACAATATAGCTTTTCTGTAATATCTGAATATAGGACAGCTAGCATAACTTTCTAAGAAGAATCTTCTTATTATATCAGAAGGTAGCTTGCAATATGCTCGATTGGTCAAAGAAAAGAGTATGAATAATTAAAGGGACACAAAGATAACAAGACAAGGTCCTTTATGATTATCTTTATGATTATCTGTAATGCAATCTTCTTAGTTATCTTTTTTCATTTATTAAAATTCTTTAATAAAGTTGATTTATTTAAACTAGGTTTTACAGAATGGATAGGACATGCAGATACAGATATCTATTTAAGCATTAATTAAATCTTTAATGTAAAGTTAAAGAAGCTTACTATAGCTCTATACTTATTGACATTACTTGAACAGTACTATAATGGTTTTTTTTCCTCTTCATCCTAAAGATTTAACACTAGTTATTAAGGGCATTATTATATTTTTTTTCAAGATCTATTTATTATTTTAAAATTTACTAGGAATAAATAAATATTCTCCTATATTAATTATACAATGAAATGACCAAAATATATTTAAAAATATAATAAAAAATAGTTTTAAGGGGTATTTTAGTATTTTTCACAATTTTTTTTATTATAATGTCATTTGAGAGTCAATTTGATATTTGATTAAATATAAAAATAATAATATACAATTAAAATGAATAGTAAAATAACAAAAATACCTTTAAAAACAAAAATTTTAAACCTAGCTTCAAAAGGATTCTTTGTCTTTTTACAATGGTTTTTTGTTTTGTAATTATAACATCAACTTAGTGGCACTTTAATATTTGAATAAAAATAATATGTGTATGTGGCTTATCTATAGTTGCGCGGGAAGGCGCCCACACCCTTCAGGTGGCGCCTCCTGGCATCCAAAAATACCTTACCATCATGTTGTTAAAAGCGTTGCTGAATCCTCTTCGGTCATAGTCTAGTTTGTCACTGATGAATCTTTTTTTTTCCTTCATTTCTCTCTTCTCCCTAAAAAGAATTATAGTTTAACCCTCTTGATTTTTTATTTTTTAACTTCAATCCTTATTTCTTAGATTTTTAAGTTTTGTTATTGACCTTTTTGTAAAAGTTTAATTTGTTTTCAATTTAATCATTTAATCTCAATTTACTAAATTTACAATTTGGTCCTTATTCTTTGGATTTCTAAATTTTTACCTCGGCTCTTTTGTAGAACTTTTAATGGTTTTCAATTTCATTATTCAATTCAAATTGATGGTATAATGTTTTTCAAATTTATGTTAATTTTAACCCTTATTCTTTTGATTTTTTTGTCCATTTACTAAATTTATTTTTCTTTTTAATTTGACCATTCAATCAAATATAAAATTTATTATGTATTTTAATTTTAATCCTTATTTTTTTTAATTGCTATTTTTTAATCATTTTGTATAATTAAAATTCTTTTTTCAGTTTCATCCTTCAATATGTAATTGGTTGGAAATTTAACTTTATGGTTTATCCAGATTAAATACTTCAAGTTTAATGATTTGGGTCATATTTAAAAAGGTTAACACGAGTTTTTTTTTAAAAAAAAACCTTTATAATTTTTTTTTATCGGTGTATTCTAATCTTATTATCAAGGTCACAGGTTTGATAAGATATATCGAGTTGGTTTGGTCCCCATTACTATAGTTATAGGTTTGTCATTACTAGTTTTTTATATCTTTTTTTACCTTATTTCATCATCTAAATATTATTTTTTTAAAAAAAAAAAGACAAACAACAATCAGATTCGTGGTGAAACATAAACACAGAAGCTAGTGTATGTTTCAATTCACAAGACGTAAAAAAAAAAAAATTACAAATCCACCTCTCTTTTAGGATTATTTTTTCTTTTATGATCCACTTGACATGTGTTGGCTTCTTTTCACTTGGTATAGAAATCAATTTTCCTGTGTCATTCTTTTCAGATACAATCTCCTCACCTATGATAATTCATTTTTCATCGTTTATTACTTCTTCAAATACTATAAAATCACATGTAGCGATGTGACAATATAGTGTTACATCATCATTAATAGAATTAGTTATCTTAAATAAGTTATCAAGGTTTTTCATCTTTATTAGTGGATTTGATGAAGTGCAACTACTTAAGCTTTCATTAGAAAAAGAAAGATAAGAAGTTAAGCTCATTGGTATTTGTGGAGGTGTAACTATAAATTCTTGATAATCTTTATATATTTCCTCTTCTTCATCAAGAATAAGTAAAAAGTCATATTTCTCATCATTATCTATCTTCTAATCTCATGCTTCTTCTTCATTGAACTCAACATCTCTATTAATTACTATCTTTTCTTCATTAGGGTTGTAAAGCTTGTATTCTTTGGACTTTGATCATAACTCACAAAAATCATCTTTTTGTTTTTTTTTTTTCATTTAGCTTGTTCCTTACTTGATCATCTACATGTGTATAGTCAATGCTCCCAAAAACTTTCAAATAAAAAACACTTGGCTTTCTTCCATTCCATGCTTTTTTGTGGAGTTATGCCATTCAAACAAAAAACAGTGATACAAAGTCAAAAAAACTCAAGAACAAGAAAAAGATTAAGAGAAATGTATATTTTTATTAAATATTTCTCTTTAAACTCTCTTAGTTATTCTCTCTCTCTCTCTTTTACTACTAAATAATATAGAATTACAAGTCCTTTATAAACATAAAGTTCTAAATAATCAAGCAATTAAACTAATATAAAAAAATCTTAATTTGAATAGAAATTGTGTTCTGTCATTGTTTTTTAATTAGTGGATTGCTTCAATTTATTTCACTCGATTGTTCAATCTTAACCAATCAACCTATTCTCAACAAGTCAGAAATCAGTTTACTTTCAATACTTTCAAGAATAGAAATGAGGAGGCATCTTGCTTGATTTGCCATACATTCCAAGGCTAGGCTCTAGATTACATTTTCATATCGCTTTCTTGGTCATCTGTTCAGAATAATCACAGGAAATAAGCACAGTAATTTCTCACGAATTAAAATTTTCCTTAACAAAATTTTGTGCAATGTACTTCCGTTGAGTTTAATTTCCTATCTAAATGTATACAATATTCTGGTAAAGCACAAGATTTAAGTCACTAGAGTGACGTGCAGCTCATCTGAGATTTGAGAGATTGCCAGCTCAAGATATTTGAAAGTTTTTTGATGGTTGAAGAAACCCATAAACCAGAAGTCAAAATCATCTACTGTAACTATTTGCATATACTTTTGTGATGGCTTCTTCACGTTCTCACTCTGACTAACCCTTTTTATCTTCCTGAGAGGAATCACTACCTGCAAATATTGATGTAAAATGTTAAAACACCTTGTGTGAGGAAGAGACAGAGAGAAATGAAGCTGATATGTTCTTGTTAGTTACTTTGTAATGGACTCTAACTGATTTTCCATTCGGAGAAGAGAATTTGATGGCTCTCTCACTACAAAAGGCGAGTTTTTGGTTGGAGATGAACAGAAGGCCTGCGAGAGGACCTGCTGTTGTTGACAAATAGGATTGGGAAACCTTCAGCAATTTCTCGTCTTCGCTAACAACAAATAACCGCTTGAAAGTTTTTTCTACCCCACCCTCTTGAAGAATTTTAGCCCCCAGACTCAACTTTCCTTTCACTGTTTCTGTAATCTTTGACCCTAGTCTCACTGCAGTTTCAAAATGATCAAGAATTAGAAGACCAATATAAGGAAGAAGGGATGAAATTTGAAGACTGCATGATTCCTAGTTTGGCAAGGAGAAAAAAATTACCATGCTCCCGGACACCATTTGCAAAATTGTCTGCTTTCCTCCCTAGCTTGTTCATCCTTTCTAGAATTGAGTCTTTCTTAGTTTTTTTCAATGCAGGAGGATATTGGCCATCAGGTCCAGGCAAGTATCTCAATGCGGATCTCCTAACTGTGAATTTTCCTGAGTTGATTGGAATTCCAATAACTTGATCCTGAAATGTGTTGTTCATTTCTGATGAATAGCTGGAATTTGCTCTTTGCTCTTGTCTATCTTGTTGTTTGCAAGACCAGATATCAAGAGGGAGAGTCGCTTCCTATGGTTGATGAAACCTTGCACATGCAAAGGTATTTAAAGGGATAGGTTGCAGCCGGTGGGTCATAGCTTTTTCCTTTCATGATGCACCCATGGCTCATCAATAAGAATAAAGACAGAGATGGTAAGTTTGGTTGCTTGCATGATAAAAAAGTTGATGTAAAAAGGTCCAAATCTTCTTAATTTTATGATATTCTATTTATCAACTTGGTTCTTGCAGTCCAAGATTTCTCCTCGTAAGGGAAATGAATAGGTCCTGAGGAATATAAAAAATGAAGGCAGGTTCGAATATGTCGTCACCCTGCTCAGGAAAATTGATTCATCTTAATATCAACTGTTTTATTTCCTCGTTTAATGCTAAGAAACAGAAAACAAAGAGGGAAGTTGACTTTTTCTTCGGAGTATAGGGCTTATTCATATTTTTCCCTTCTCAAAATTCAATATATTTTTTGGGGAAATTAATCGAGCTTATCCCATTTTGAGAAGAGGCCGGACAGGATTAAAAAAAAAAAAATCTGGACGGTGCCTTTTGAGTTGGCAGTCTATCTTTCTGATGCTATCCCTCTCACAGTTTTAATATATAAAAAAGAAAAAGAAAAAAGAAAAAAAAAAGGGAGCTTAAAAGGCCACATGATATGGTAATATGTCATCCATTAAACCACAAGAGCATACAAATTATGTCACCAGCTATTAGTAGAATATTGGAAACGCATGCATGACTTGCAGCAATGGCTCATGCATGCAGATAGAGATAAAACAAGTTCCTGTCCTTTCATATTTCATCCTGCAAAAGTGGCTACCAAAAAGCTAGTCTTCAGCTCAGCATTTTCTTTCTTTATACATAGATCAAGGATGGAGTTCCTATTCATATCCAGGGTCTTCATGAATTCCAGGACCCTATACTAGAGTTAAGAGTCCCCTCACTGTTCAACCAGTGCCTTATTTGCATTTAAGTGCTTGGTGTTTTTCTGCCATCAGAATTTACAAGTCTACATTTCTACAGAGAATTTGATTAATCTGTGCTAAAAGAGAATGCCCGATGAAAAAGAGCACCCAGTTCAGTTGTTGATTAATTTCTGGTCAAAAGAGAAAACTTTAAAAATAAATTAAAATAAAACTCCATGACTAAAAGAGCACAGATCTTATCCGGAAAAAAAAAAAAACAATCCAATCCTTGCGGCTTCTCTCCTTTTCTTTTCCAGTACAGTCATAAACTTTTACCTCGTCGACATCTCTCTGATTTCCAAATGCCCATATCAGCACTACGCACGTCTTGATTGGGCAGACTTTGCCTTAATGGGAAAGGAAACAGATGCAAATGGTGGAATTCGATGGCCGGCATCACCTGTGCTGACGGAAGAATGATGACTTGTACTTTAATGCCAACTGGAAAGAGATTTGCATAATCAAAGCCAAGCCACACCACGCCAGCCCCTTTTCCCACCAGCTAAGCAAGAGCCGAATATGCTACTTTAAGCCAACTCGAAAGATATTTGCCACGTCATCCCCTTCTCCCACCTGCCAAGTAAGAGCCGAATGTCCTACATGACACACACTAGCCAACTCTACCGCGCTTTGCTGCTTGTTGGATGAAAAACAAATGATAATAATAATAATATATGACGTTAATAATGTGTTTTCTATCATTATGGAAAACTTTTAATTATAAACCCATAAGTTGACGTATGTATCTAATAAAACAATTAAAAGATTATATGAGATAATAAAAACTAAAAGCAATTAGAATAAACTAATAAGTGACTCGCATTGTGTCACGATCAAACCAAATTTTTTGTAGTATAAAAAAATATATTCAGATAATGATAATATTTTCAATTGATAAAAAAAATCAAAAACATGGGTCATTGATTTGATTAGATTCTATAAGTTTAGTTAATTTAATAATATAATTTTAAAAAAAAATATTAATATTAAATAATACAAACAAAAAAATTAACAATAATTAACTATAAAAAATAAGATATCAATATCATCCGAAGAAAAAGAAGATGGAAAAGCTCATAGGAGATTCATTACCACTCTATTGTGATCAATACTCCACCGCACGAAAAAGTTCACTAAAATAATTTTAAAGCCATTGCAAAACACTATAGGATGACACTAAAATAAATTGTATATAGCATCAAAATATTAACAACCCAGAAAGTAAACCTCGAAAAATATAATAAAGTGTGCATCTCATGCTTATATTTAATTAATTTAATTTAATTTAACTCAAAAATAAAATTCATTTAAAAAAGCTAAACTTTAAATTTTAAAAAATAAAAAGACCCGAGATAACCAAAGTCATTTTTAAAAGCAATGAAAAATTCTATAGAAAAAAATAAAAAAAATAATGGAGCATAATCTCCAATTAAATAAATGTTGAAGATGGAACTTAAAAAAAAAAATTGTTCTATAAAATCTAATTTAATATTCCAAACTCGTAACCCAAAAAAAACTAGACTCAAGATCAATTAAGAATCTCAATTCTTAACTAATTTAATGTTAAATTATAAAATAAATAAATAAAAAATCAATCTAAAACAATTGCCTAACAAACTGAGATGAATCTCTTAAACTTAGTTTAATCTTTCAAACTTACAACTCATGTTCAATTAAGAAGCTTAGTTCCTCCCATCAATTTAATATTAAAGAAGAAATCAAAAAAATATCAATTTAAAAATACTTTCAAATTAAAAAAAATAACAATCAAAAAAATTAAGATCGAATTTGATAGAGAAATAAAATTAAAGAATGAGATTTAAGAAAAATTTAATTTTAAAAAATATCTCAAATAAATAAATAACAATCAAAAGAATAGGAATCGAATTTGATAGATTAAAAAATTAAATAATGATAAAATTGAAAATAAATTTTAATTCTATAAATTATTTTAAATAAAATAAATAATAATTAAAAGAAAAGGAATGAACTTTGAAGGAAAGATAAATTAAATGAATATTTTAAAATTTAAAGACTCGTGCATGGAAATTAAGGATGAGAAAAAAAATTAAAAAAAAAAAAACAAAAAGGATGTTGACATCAAACTGAAGATGCCACACGCATCACTTAGGGATGATTCAAACAGATAAAGTTAATTCCAGGCATGAGCTGTTAAATCTCAAAACATTGCATAAATGGATATCCAACACAAACCACTATACGAAAAACTTAGTAGAAAATGTCACAGGTGGAAATAGAATGACAGAATTGATAAGATCACTTGTGAATTCAAAACTCGGTGCGAGATCGACTTGTCTTCATCCAAAGAATATTCAAAGTCAAAGTACTCCACCGCGCGTGTCTGTAGGTTGGGCAACTTTTTCCCGCAAATTTTGAATTCTGTTAACAATCTGCAGTTGAATTTAGAGAATCCATTCGTAAGGCATCAATCAAAAAAACAATCAAACAAGAATAAGATGGCACCACAAATTGGGCTGGTCAAACTTAGATAATGGCCCCTCTGTAAGAGGCCAGTGATGCTGTGATGGAAATCAGGCTTCTACTCATCTTCTCATCGTCTAAACCAACCACCTTGGGCCTTGCACAGATGTGTTGTTAAAATGATGAGCAGAGTTTCCAAAGGACATCAAGCACAGCAGATCCTGTCGATGCCCAAATAGTAAGTAAACTATGTAGGAAAGTATTTCCGGCTAGCTGATCTAAAATATTTCCTAACTTATTTATTCATGGTAATTTTCCTATTAAGCAATGCACGCATTAAATTGTCCTAGGAAAGTCATAAATAATATTTCCTAAATGAAAAAATTGTCCCTAGACGGTATAAATTTATGTGTAAATATAAATTCCATTCTTTGGTTTCAATCGTCGTCTGAATTAAAGCTCTTTCTCTACGTTTATTCAGGTTAGTGATTACTGTTACAAACTCGCAATATTGCAATCAGTTTCAGTAATCATGCATGTTAATTAGTCTGTACTGTGTAATTTGATTTTATTAAGAAGTTATGGGATGACCAATAAAACCCTAATCCTGTGTTGCTTTATTAGCAAGATTTAATCTCTTTCTTTGTCTTATAATCGAGAAACCATCAAGACTTCAATCACCTTAATTTGATGGTCTGTCTTGAACTATAAATCTTAGGATGTATGGCCATCACACTCCATTGTCTGAAAAATCAGACTTTCGGAAAGTAACTTGGAATCTTTAGTGGTTATTACTACGTTATTATATATTATATACGCAGTGATATCTGTGCACCTTTGGGGTTGAATTTATTGCAAACTCAAATATTAAATCTATGTATCGTATAATAATCTCTTCAAATCTGTATACAATAAAGATCTCGTAATCAGTATTGTTTCTTGTGTATTTCCACAGTTAGGAACATCATTATGGAGGCTCCAAAGGTTGTTGTCAGAGAAGTTGCCCAGATCCCCAAGAAAAAGAGCAATTATTTCTACCTTATATTAGGCGGTGTTGTTTTTCTCATCATCTTAGGAATAGCAATCACGTTTTATTTGGGCATTCTGCCACTTCCTCATAAGCCTCAGTTTATCCTCGACGAAGCTACTATCGGTGGCTTGAAATTTTCAGATCCAAACTTGCTAACTTGTAACATGCGGGTCACTTTATCTGCAAAAAACCCTAACATCAATTATGGGATATTCATTGAAAAGCTTGAGGCACGTGCATTCTATCAAAACCAACAGATTACTGTAGCAGATGAGCTGACTACGAATTACGTAAGTCCCAAAACGGTCAACGTGTGGACTCCGTTTTTGTATGGCAATGATGTACTAATTCCTCCACATGAAGCTGCTAATTTGATAGTAGACTTGAATGCTGGCAACTTGCCACTCGATATCAAGGTTGATGGTAGTCTGAAATGGAAGGTTAGCTCGTTTACGTTTGGAAAATATAGATTGATGGTGAATTGTCTGGCCGATATTCCTCTTGGCAGCAATGGCACCAACTTTGAGTCAGGAGTCAAGTATGTGTTAGACCAACCTTGTAGGCTGCGATTTGAGAGCTGATATTTGAGGCAACAATATTAATATAAAGGGAGTTGTTTGTGAAATTTTTTTCTTGGTTAACTAGAGTTTGATAATTACATGAGCTTTCAATTATAATTTTTTTTTTTTAAAGTAAGTTCAGCTTTGATTTGTTAATTATTATTAGCAGTATATATTCACTTTCTATCAATATATTATTGTACAGTTATTAGCATATATATTTCGGCTTGATCTTTGGAATCATTAGCAGATATTCAGCAATTGTTAGCTGAGATATAGGATCGTGTTTTCCTTCCTCATGTAATATATACTACCATAACTGTAGAATAAAATATACAAAGCAGAACAATTATCTTCTTCTTACATGGTATCAGAGCAAGTTCTCTGTATATTTCTATAAGCACATTTCTTCAACGGTTTTTTTCCTGCAGCCATGTCAAATACCACATCCCAGGCAGCCTCCTCTTTCACATCACCATCCATTCAAGATATATCCTCACCATATTTCCTTCATTCCGTTGATCATCCTGGTGCCATTCTGGTCTCCACTCTCCTTAATGGTGATAATTATCCTACCTGGAAGAGGGTGATGAAAATGGCCCTGAATGCCAAAAACAAATTGGTTTTTGTTGACGGTACTCTCTCCAAGCCAACATCTTCTGTCCCAGATATTCAGCTGTGGGAACGTTGCAGTGACATGGTCTTATCATGGATTCTCAATTCCATTGATAAATCCATTGTTAGCAGTTTAATCTACCATACTTGCTCCCGTGATGTCTGGCTCGATCTTGATGATCGGTTCTCTCAAAGCAACAATCCAAGGATCTTCAAACTGAAACGCGACATTGCTACTCTCACTCAAGGTTCCATGACAATCTCTGCATACTTTACAACACTTAAAAGTCATTGGGATGAGCTAGCCATGCTTACTCCCACACCACAATGCATTTATGGCATCTTAACAGAATTGAATCACATGCAAGATACTGAACATGTTTTTTAGTTTTTAATGGGGTTGCATGACTCATATGCTTCGATTCGTAGCCAAGTTTTGGCTATGGATCCATTACCTCCTATTAACAAGGTATATTCAACCTTGCATCAAGAAGAGAAACAACGCCTTCTTCATATTCCTAGTTTTCCAACTGAGTCTGCTGCTATGATGGCTCCTCGTCATCTTTCTCATCGTTTTGACAATAAAGAGCGAGGGCGTGGTCATCCAAAATGTGACTATTGTGACCGTGATGGTCACTGGAGAACACATTGTTATAAGCTCAATGGATATCCTAGCAACAGATCTCAACCTCGTGGAACACTTGATAGACTATCAGGTTCGTCAAAGGCAGCAAATAATGTCGTTGGTTCTTCCACTCCAGCTGGTTCCTCAAAAACTGAAAATATTGTTACTGGTTCTTCAACCCCTACTGAGATAGTTATCCCTGGCCTCACAAGTGATCAATACAATCAGCTCTTGGAATTTTTATCACCCGTGAACACCAACTCTGCCAACTTTATTGGTAACCCTATCTCCTGTCACTCTGTTTCTTTTTCTAACCGAGAATGGATTATTGATTCAGGAGCCTCCGATCATATGACTTCCAGTTTTTCATCCCTTGATAACACTCAACTTCTTAATCAACCATGTCCTATTTCACTTTCAAATGGTGACATCGTCTCTATCACTCATACTGGCACATTGCGCATTTCTCCAACAATTTCTCTTTCTAATGTTTTATACGTACCATCATTTAAATTCAATTTATTATCCATTAGCAAGCTCTCTAGTACTCTCAACTGTGTTGCTATTTTTTTTCTGACTTTTGTGTTTTTCAGGACCTATCAATGACGAAGCTAATTAGAACGAGTGAAGTACGAGATGGACTTTACCACTACAAACCTTTTTCTGCCTCTGTTTTTCATTCTCAATGCATTTCTGACTCTACTCTTTGGCATCAACGACTCGGTCACCTTTCTACTTCAAGTATTCCAACAACTTTAAATTTTCCAAAATCACATTTGCCTTGTGATGTTTGTGCTAGAGCCAAACACACTCGTTTACCTTTCTTTTTGAATACTAATAAGAACACCTTTTGTTTTAATTGGATTTATTGCGATATATAGGGTGGTTATCCTACAGCTTCATATTCAGGTGCCCACTATTTTTTAACCACTGTGGATGATTACTCACGCACGACATGGGTTTATCTTATGCGTATGAAATCAGAAACTTTTACTTGTCTTACCAATTTTTATGCAATGGTTAAAAATCAATTTAATCACACCATTAAGCATGTGTGCACCGATAATGGACAAAAGTTTTTATCTAATAACATCCAAACTTTTTTTCACGACCATGACATTATTCATGAGCGCATATATGTGGATACACCTCAACAAAATGGTGTTGCTGAACGTAAACATCGCCACCTTCTCAATGTGGCCCGGTGTTTACGTTTTCAAGCTAATCTTCCCATTTTTTTTTAGGGTGAATGCATTCTCACAGCCAATTATTTAATTAACCGCACCCCTTCACCTCGCCTTAATCATAAGTCACCATATGAACTCCTTTTTCAAAAACAACCATCATATTCACATTTAAGAGTGTTTGGGTGTTTATGCTATGCTCAAACCACTCGCAAAAATCATGATAAATTTTCTCCTCGTGCTCTACGATATGTTTTCTTAGGCTACCCTATCCATCATAAGGCTTATCGTGTCTACGATCTTGAACATAAAAAAATTATCATTTCTCGTGATGTTATATTTGAAGAAACTATTTTCCCTTATCATCTCATGATCTCAAACCCCATACCTTCCCCGGTTCTTCCTCTTCCTATTCCTGAAATTCCATCCAATACTGTTTCTGCACAGCCTACTACCTCCCCTCCCCTTCCCTCCTCACACAAACTGTCACCCACATCGTCCACTCCAACCCTTCCCACACGACCAAAACGAGTTATCACCCGTCCTACTTACTTAGCTGATTATATTTGCCCTTCTTTACCAAGGTCCTCCACTGCTTCACAAGTTTCACGCTCTTC